CACTAATGATTTATTTAGTATAAATTTATCTGCTTTGAAAGACAGGTGTTTTTCAAAGGATAAGTACAGAGTGGGATAGATTAAGCTCAGTTCACATGCATGATGTGAAAAACATATGGTGTATATCTGATTTCTGGTAAAAAGTACACTCGTCTTGGTGTTATCCCCTACCCCAGATCGAGATGCCCCAGATCGAGATATCTTGATATGTTTCAAATGATACGCTTAGCTGTATCACTTGAAACTTTTTTGAACTTCGTATGTGAACCAAGAACTCAAAAACTTTCACCTTTTGCTCTTTTTGAAACGACTTTCATATGTGAACCAAGAAGTCAACAACTTTTACTTTTTCCTTTTTTGGAAACCACTTTCATATGTGAACCAAGAACTCAACAACTTTCACTTTTTTCCTTTTCTTGAAACCATTTCCATATGTGAACCAAAAGCATAGCGCCGTGTACGTTGAATATATAAAGTCTATATTGAATGGAAATTTGAAATGTTATGGAAGATCTATCATGTTCATATAACATCCGGACCCACATAAATGGAAGATTCTATAGAGCAATATTGTTGCACTAGCCTACATAATAGCTAACAAATTTAGAGAACATTGAAACTGAAAGTATAACAAGGTCTAGATAAAAATTCATGGTGAGATCTACATGTATATATTGACATGTCATGGCTTAGCTTGTTTCTCTGGCCAAGTGGTATCAAAGAAATCTGTCAACCTAGATTTTCATCATTGAATACATGTGCAAATTTTCAACAGCAATATGATGTTGCTTTTTCAATTATGACATTTCATTTATGACGTGCTCTCTGAAATGATATTATATAAAAAATATGATATCATGAGAAGAATTTGGATATGCTTTTCAATTATATTACTTATATAATGTGTTAGAAAGAAATAGATAAATCTTTGTGACTGTCAGCTTTCATATTTCTCAAAAGTTATATTGTTTTAAGGTGGGTCATTTTCACACAATAGTAATATTCTCATATATAAAAATTTATCACATATGTAAAAGAAAAGACACTGTAACACAGCTCATTCAAATTATAAATTTTTCAAATATGTTCTAGGATTATTATTGAAAAAAATTCATATAGTAGTTAAAATATTTACTACAAAATCAGTTTCAAAAAAAATATGATGCTTTAAAATTCAAGGCTCCAAAAACAAAAAATGAAAGTGGAAACTTTTCTTTGAGATATTTGATGAATCAGGTCAATGAAAATTTATAATCCAAGAAAACACTTAGATAATTTTAATGAAAATACAATTTATTTTGACAATTTTGGAGTAATAATTTCACAAATGGAATACAAATGCAATAATGTAAAAGTATCGTTGAAATCACTAGTTGAGTATTTGGATGACAAATTTAATCTTGAGATAAACCTAGTATGGAGACATAGAAGTTGATTACAATCATTTCAGGATCAAATAAAGAATTAATATCATTGTTTCAATGATATTAAAAGAATTTTATGAGGATATTTCCTTTCATGTTGAGAAATAAGACTATGCTCTAATTTTGGGCCCAAAAATTATTAATTTTTTCATTGATGAATTACTTTGAATTTATTTATGTTGGAATTGACGAAGATTATAATGTCTAATACGTAAGTCACTTTGAACAACCTAATTTTATAACTAAAGTTTGCATTTATGTTTTAGAAGATTGAAATGGCTGAAATATTTTTTTGTAAAACAAGTTGGAAGTGATTAGAAAAAAAATGACGAGATTTGAACGTTTTAATTTCAATTTTTATTTTTTTATGCTCTAAAATTTTGAACATAATAAATTCTCCTCAAAAATAATCATTCAGTATGATTCACTAGATTTAAATGCATTTTTGTATGAAATTTTAGGACCTTTTAGAAAATTATAAGCAAAATAATCAAGTATGTATAACTTATGATGAAAACTAATTTTTAAAAAATTATCAAAACTTATTTAACTTTCAACATTTATTAGTTTCTTAAGTTATTTCAACAACTAATTTTGAAATCTACCAAAATCTCTTTTACTTTCAGCATTTATAACATGTAGATTAACATAAATGTGTTATCACTTGTTAACGTAAAACCCAAGAAACACAACGACAAGGAAATAGTGTGATTCACCGTGAGTAGGAGGGTATGTCTAGGGAGAACACCCGATGCTTTACTCCTCATATTGTCACAAATACACTCTGTATAGGGTGAGTTAACCTCAATAATCCACAGTGGCAAACATAAAAAAACCGTGTGTTTGTTGGACAAGGATTGAACATGTTAGTTGACAAGTAAATTTGTGCAATCTATGCATTTGTTAGTTAAATCCTTTATGTCACCAATCCACTAGAAATGGAATAGATGATGAGATGAAAAAATAATAAATTTTACATTATTGGAAAAATCTATATAAATATATAGAGTTTCAATTTAATAATAACTTTAAAATGAAATTTTACCTTGACTCCAAGGGTTACATTTTATTATTAAATATTTGAGCTTTTCATATGGAGAAGTTTTATATTTGTATCACTTTTGCCACATTTAGTTTTGATATTATGATTTTTAAAAGTGAATGATTCAATTTAAAGTTCATAGCTTGTAGAAACTGTACTATTCAGATTTGATGATCTCTAAGTAGACAATTCTGATTGATCTATCACTTGGTTCTGATGTGAGTTTCCGAAACAATAACTTATTTCTTTAATTCTTACTATCCAAGAATTTGTTGCATGTCCAGAAGAATTGTCTTATCATCAGGCTACTACAAAAAAATGATAATATGTATCATTTCTTGGTCTAAGATGCAAGTCATGACTTAGATTTAAAAAAATATGATTTAAGTAACGGCAAGCTTGAAAAGATTTGGAACAGCTTTGAGAGTAAAAAATTGGACTTTATGAAACATCAAACAAAACATAATCTTGAGATAATCATTTTTTAAAAATTTATTTCATTTTCATATACAGGATAAGATTTTTTTTTTTATTTTTATTTTATTATGCATATCTAAAATAATTTTTGTAATACTTTATCTTTTCATGCTTTAAAAGAATTAGATTTTTTAACCAATTTAATTTCCTTGATTACAGTTTTTATACCTTCATCAATTGAAATTTATATTCTTCTACATCTTATAATAATTTTTATTGGATTAGAAAAAATTTTATCATAATGACTTTGAATTTAAAGATGAAGAACAACGGTATTTAAAAAAAAAATCTTTTCACTAAGAGTACAAATCACACATACAAGATTTTAAGATGATATTTTCAACAAACTAACTGATTAAAAATTACATTATATTACTACTAATTGATTAATAATATATATCATATTCTACATAAAATGAGATAAATAATGATCATATTATAAAACTTTCAGATAAAATTATCACATTAAAGATAAAAAATTAGTTGTTAAGTGATAATTTGACAACCAATTTTTCTAGCAACCAACTTATACAAAAGCTAGATTTGAATGTTTCACTTTTTTTGAACTTTAATTTATTTTGGTGAGAATAAATTTTTATATCACATTCAAATTGAAACAAATTAATTCGTTGATTAATATCAAGGATGTGATTTTTCATGGATGACTGATGCATGTGCACTATGAAATACTAACTTGAGGACATCAATTTACATTTAATGGACCAAATTTTGAAAATTCAAATTGATTATAAAATAGTAGATGATAAAGCCAATTTAATATATTATCATTTATGAAAACTTTTTGAACGTTGTATTGTGCCCATTACACCTTTCTAACTCTAGTTCATGTATTGACAAGGTAATTTAAACCTCCTATGGAAAATATGAAAAATAACTTTTGTTTGTCTATAAAGTGGAGCATATATGCTATAACAAGTCTTCTTAGTCCAGTGATGTAAGCAATCCGTAGCTTTCCATGGAAAACAGTATGCAATTTTCGAATTCCAGCCAGAAATAAAAACTAACTGAGTTGCTTGTGGGGAAGAATAAACTTCATAACAAGTGAATGTTCCGGATGAAAATAACCTAGAAGGTTAAAAGAGATTCAAGTCCGGAGTATTATTCAAACAAGAAAGCAAAACTTAGGAGCTGGTTGCATTTTTCTCCCTCCTGTGAAGTTCAATACTATGACTAAGAGAGTTTGTTGGATGTTTTCCCATTGAAAATTTTCATTTTCAGTACTTCGAAGTGAAGATTGCATTTCTTCACCAAGTTTTGGCTAAAGAATATATATGCATCAGTCATAAATTCTCTTAGAAAAATGTAAAAGAGAACAGGATGAGTAAAGTTTAAAAGAAGTTTAATATGGCTGAAAATTAACCTAAAAATAGTGTTTGACGACTTCATGCATAAAGAGGATTTCTAGAAGCACAACGCCAATATATTGCTAGATATAGGGCATGTACAAACATTTTGGTGCTTTTTGTTGATGGTTCGCTAGTAATAATTGCAATTTCAAATACGGATTATTTTAGCAAGTTAATCCAACTCCAACTTAGGTTGGAGTTGGATTGTTTGTATTGTGTTTTTTAGCCTTTTGACCCGTTGGGTCCCCCGGGCTTGATCTATTTACCATTACCAGTAAAAGAACAATTATGGAAGGAGTTTGAGATCAAAAACCTTGGAAATGAGGAGAGATAAGAATTGTTATTAATTATCTCATTTAGAGTATATTTAACAGGGTTCAGGTTATCCTCCAGAGCATCAAGGTGGAGGACTCCAAGCCAAATGCTACATCTTTGGCACGTCCATTTGCTAATGCAAAGATCAGGTCCTCAAACTCAGGAAGATAGGAATTTTATGGCTAAGGAATTTTATGCCTCATCCATCGAGAGTTGGATGGATGTGATGATCTCTTGATCACATATTGTATATGGTTAGGAGATTTATTAACTAATAGCCAGAACAAGGCATTCGGAGTTTTGTTATCATTTCAGTAGATCTTGATCAGAATATAAATGCTTAATACTTGGGAAGATCCAGAGAAGCAAGAATCCACGGACATGCTCACAAGGACAATGGCTACAGAGTATTGACAAACTATAGAGTAATTGTGTTCAGCTTCAGTCGGCCTACAACAAAAAATAAACTGGAAAGCTATGCTGCATATCTCAAAGTGAAAAGACAGATCAAAATCAGCTTTCAAGTCGGGAGTTGTGAAGAAATAATTCAAAATGTTGTACGTTTTTTTGCCTCTCATCACCAGCGCACCAAGACTTTCAGTTCTTCCTGCAGTCGGAGGGTCAACCGATTAGCGGCATGTAAAGCCCCTCGGCTGTATTGGATCGAGTTTGAATACTAGGGTCCTGAGATTTAAGCTCTGATGAAGCAGGATTGTCGCAGCGTATATTTGTGTTGCAGTTTTGCGTGCACTATACTAGAGCTCCTGTCACACCAAAGTCAAAGAAATGAATATAAGTTTTCCAGACTTTTAGTGAGGAGGTCCAAAGAAATGAGAGGCATATCATCGCTGCGCGAGGTGTACGGGTCCAGCCACTGTAATTTTCAGGTCTCCAATACAAGGCAACGAACTTGAGATCTTTTTGGTCCAAAGCTATCTCAGAGTGTAGAACGCCGCGAAGGTAGGTAGTGAGATCTGGCATACCAGCCCTGATGTGATCGCAATCACATGTGAGATGGAGACATCGTGGGCCTTTAGCAGTTTCCATCCGCTGAATTTGTTGCTTACGAGCCAGGAAATCAAGGTAAACTTCTGGATTGGTCTCGGCAGAAGAATCTATGTCCGAAAACTCCTTCAATTCACTTTTGAATCCAGTCTTCTGCGTAGTTTAGGGTTAAAAGCACCTCTATTCCCTCTGGCATATGTACTATGGAACTGCTTTAACAACTACGGTTCTACTTATCTGATTAAATTTCCAAACCTTTCACCCAAACGCAGCAAATCTTCTGTTTTAAAGAGCCTTTCGTAGCTGACGACAATGGATACAAAGAGCATGATGGGAAGATCCCTGTGGCATCACTGACTCTTCTAAAGTAAACATCCGTGTGCATATCTTACGTTTGCGCAGGGTCGAAACATCATTGTAAATCTTTCATGTGTAGAAGCTCCCAAATATCTCCAAAACTTTATTTGATCTGGTCTGGTCTGATTAAATATAACAAAATGCTCATTAAAATGGGCATTTTTTGTTGAGACTTGACCAGAGAATATCGGCATCTGTGTTAGATCTCATTCTTCGATGAAGTGAACAGAGATTTGTAGTACAGGGTAAGCCAACCCGTAATCTTCCAACCGAATGAAAAACTTGAGCTGCAGAGCATAGTCATCTGATTTGTCTTGTGGCCCGTGCTTTGCTGATGGACAGGACAGACTTTGAACCTGTTTGCAGCTCCCGTACGTCTGGAAAACTGGTTCATGTCATAAACCACCATAGTGACTCCTGGCTCGCTGACTCCACTCCTTGACTCGCTGCTATTCCTTGTTGCTCTTTAAATAATCGTGTGCAAGATGATGCGTCTCAGTTGCGCGAATCTCGACTGCCGGAACGTAGCAGCAGCTAAATGAGTGTTCACACTCATATGGATTCTTCAGTAGAAGCAGAGAAGCGCAGAATTTGAAGGAACAGCACAGAACCCGATTGACATGCGAAGTAACCGGAGATTTTGAAAAGTGGTTAAACACAGCTATTTTAAACTCGATTCTTGTTGATACACGAGACCAACTTTGAAGTTCGTTTGTGTTCACCAATCTTCTGCACGATTAGTTCTGTGCAGTGAAAATGATCAATGTAGGCAAAGCGAGTAAAGAATCTAATTTCAAGAGGATGCCCTTCTTCCATCGGTGTCTCTTGAATCCCTTCGATGCCTGGAGCTACTGCTACCATGTTGTCTCGTGCCTCTCGCAGATCCTTCCTGTAAGTAATTTGGGGCATAAAACATGGAGTTTGCCATCAGCATACACTTCTTTCTTAGACTTCTATTTTGATTGGTCCTCGACTGAGTTACACTGATACTTCAGATATTAAATTTAACTAGAAGGGACCGGGGGGTCGGGTTTGGCTGCGTTTGTGAGGTTTGGATATTCTGGTCCTCTGTTCATTATTGGTGACAGGGACACGACATGGACGGAATACTAGAAACAAGCTAATCTGAGATGGACATGGAGTAGGTTACTACTGTTTACTCCTTCAAGGAACATATGGTATTTTCTTAAAAAAGAGTTCAGTTATGTGCTTACCTCTTGTGATGGAGAGTCTTTCAAGCGGCTCATGATGCGTGCCTGCAGCCGCTGAATTTCTACATGGAGGCTGTCGACAGCACCCGGATCTTCATCTAGGACCATGCGAAAAGGTCCTTCAGCTGACGTTCGAACTCTGCCGGACATATCACCTGAACCTGTTCGGTCCTGTAGTAAGTCAGATGCAGAACCTGAAGGTTCCAGAACGGTATGCGCCGGGGGTCTTGCAGTGGAAACCAAAGCAAATGAAGTTTCCCAATCTGTCTGAAAGGGCTCATGTTGACCAGGATCATTTGTGCCTCCTTCCTCGTCATCTGTCATATCAGTCGAACCTTGAGTGCCAGTCGATGGGTTCAAAGGGTCTGATCTGGATGAATCCTCCAAGTGCCTTTCCAAAGAGTTGAGGGGATCTTGTGCTTCTCTATCGTCTTGTGTATGTCCTAACGAATCGGAGGATTGGTGGCTTTGTCTTTCTCTTCCATCACGTCCATCCGGCCTTGTATAATAAACACAGGAAGACCTCTCAGGTGATGTCACTGAAGGTATTGCATGGCCTGATGCACTTTTCTCGGGAGGGGTGCCCATAGAGTCCTTAGCTTGACCATGGCCACCCCTCAACGCCTCTTTCACATTGATGTTGTGCAATCCTACCCGCACGGGTGCATTCGTGTCCAATGGTCCACCTGGAGCATTCCAGGTACTCAAGCTTGTGACATAACCTTTTGTCTTCAATGAGGTTTGCTCTGTTCCCAGGGAGATGATAAATATTACATTTCCAATAGACATTTGACATCTACATTTCGATGTTGAAGTTTCTAGTCAATCAACGTCCACATCCTTAACAGTGCTTCAATAAACATCCTTTGGCGTGCATATCACCACCTCTACACATCTACTCTGGAAAAGCACTGAACAACGCTTCGATATCCATTATAGCTAGCACAAGTGCAACAGACTGGGATAGTATCAGCTTCTGATACAGTCATGCAAGGTCCAGTTCAGTCCATCCTCTCTGACGTCGTAGTGGCGTTAAGGGAATATTTCTAACACGAATTCTTCATTTCTTGTTCGAAAAAGCAGTTGTAAAGACACTACGGAGTTTTGACAAACATGACAGTCTAATACTCTAGAAACGAGTCTCTGTCCTCAAGACAAACCATTCTATAGTGGTTGCTTTGTGCTATTTAACGCTTACCACGCCTAGTTTTGACTTCAAAGAAGTTGGAAGCAGATTATGGGTCAACAGAATAATAATTACCAGCCAATAACTTATTCTCATACTCCAGCTTTCGAACTCGACTGTCTTTGCAGTCCAGAATTAGCTCAAGTTCTTGCAGCTGTTGTTGGGACTCTTGTAACTGCAAGTAAAACATTGATTAGCGATAACTGAAAGCAAAACAACGCAGTGGAAAGTAAGCGCCATCGGAGACGAATAGTTTGAAAGTGAGTATAGATGAGACGAAACATCTCAAAGGTGCAGCCCTTATAGGGTTAACAGCAGATAAGATAAAGAGTAGATGTGGGAAGTTTTGGAGTTTTTGTACTGCCAGATCTATGATTCCCTAAATATTTGTTTACCTCGGAATGTTTTCGTGTGAGCAAACTCTCCAGTTCTTGAATACGAGAATCGCGAGCCTCGACAGTCTCACAAAGAGTACAGTTGGCAACAGCCAATTTGCGTTGCACTTCACCAAGCTCCAACTCACGTCTCTGAGAAGGTAAACAATAGCAAAGGGGTATCTCAGTAATTACTAACAAAAAAATAGTTCTTGAAGTTAATAACCACAAGTTTTGAGAAGAGTTTCTCTTTAGGCTCCTGTGTATAATGTGGTAGAGATAAGAGGTGGAGTTATGATGCTGGCTAATTTGGGTGTATAGACTAGAATATACACCGTATCTTAGGTTAGGCCAGAACTTACACGACAATTGCCTTCAAGAGTTGCAAACTGATTCTCCCGCTCTTCTAGCAGTTTGCGAAGTGATGCAGCGATCTCAAATGCACTCGTCAGCTTCTCTTGTGATTCATCTGAAGCTCCTTCAAGTTTTTCTGCTGTTTCTTTGAGGGCCTGTATAACGAAGCAGATGTATTGTCCATGTCCAGATGAGAATAAAGGAACGTAAGAAAGTTACATTCCCGTATCATGGAAGACTTAGTATCTGCCTATCTTCCATTCGGAGGCTGAGCAAATAGCAAATGTTATCATCGGCAAACAGTAAATATGGTCCACTTATATGCTCAGCGATCCTAAAACTTTTCAACTAGGGCGGAGAGTATCAACCTTTTCATACGATTCGAGCTGGGAATTTTTCTCTGCTATTTGTATTCGAAGCTCCTTCAACGCCTGACCTAGATTTTGTATCTCCAAAGTATGATGCACCTCACCTGCTGTGTCCTCAGCGTTCTTCAGCTGAAGCTTTTTCTGCGGCATTGAAAACACCAGCCATCGTCGCCAGGTCAATATCGTTAAATAAAACTGTATAGAGCTTGGTTTCATAGTCCCCAGAACTAAGGTATTCGTTTAGATCTAAGGACAACGCCACGAAGAGTGCAGGCAAGGACCTGAAGAGCATTAATCTCTTGTTCAAGGTCATCCGCACGAATATGCTGCTGTTCTATCTCTCCTCGCATAGAGCTTTCAAGAACGGCACTATCTTCCAAAGCGCGATGAAGTTCTTCTTCTTGCTTCTCCTTCTCGTTTATAGTTGTTTTGAGAAACGCAATCTCCGATGACATGGTATGTAAACGGTCAATTAGTTGGAGGTTCTCGACATCCACCGCAGTCACTTGATGCTTCTGTTCCTCGAATTGTGTCTGTAAGGAAGGACGAGATGCTTTAGGACGAACTCCGGTTGCAAGCTCATCTCCATTACTGGTCTGCTTGTAGTTTAAAATATTTAACGTTATGTGCACTCTGAGATCGTAGTATTCTTTGGTCTTTCTATCCAACGATTTTTACGAAGAAAGGGAGAAAAAGGGTAATATTTCATCTTCAAAGCTTACAAGAGAAGCATAAGGACCGTCACAACTAAGAATAATGACACGTACAAATGTCAGTGCAAGCAATGGGGCATTTCAGGGGTAAGGCATCTACTTGGGCCTCCATAAGCTCGTCCTGGAACTTCGCATTCGCAATTAACAGGCCATCGAAAGTTGCATGCATCCAGTTGTGCAAGCATGAAAGCATCAGGGTTCTTCGCCTGCGGATTGCTATTAAAGTATCGAGCTGCACAGCGCGCCTCTTCCAGGCCATATACTCCCACCATGCGTGAAGGGCAATCTTGGCCATCTGTATATCATATATTATTATTGAATAGTTTCCATGTCTGAAGAGGTAGATCGATCATATTACATCGAATGCTATACAAATGACCCTCCAAATGTTATATACTTTTCTGTGATTTCGAATTAAACTCCTCCAAGCATTTCCATTTCTAACAGTTGCATCCAAAGAAACTGGTAGATCAACGAGTAGCCTCTTTAGCATCACTAAAGAGGAAAAAAAGTTGTTCCGAGTCTCAACGATAAAAAGCTGGACTTTAAGATTTGGTGTCACAGTGTTATCTTTTGCATGTATTTGCCATCTTCAGCTGTCTATGTCTAAGCTCTACAGCTGATTCTGATCTAATAACTTTGAACTGGGCTGTCTCATGATAGCCAGTTATCGTTTTCTTTTCACATTCTTTGTTGTTTCGTTTATGGGTCTTCTTAGAAGACACAAATGTTTCGGTTCTCATAGGGCAATCCTAATTAAAGTCGAGCCTTCTATAATTCACATCCACTGCATTCAACAAGTTTCACATTCTTTGCAAATCCAAGTTGTTCAAAACAAGCTTCAGCGCCGGAACTAGGGACCTAGAGTTGAAGTAAAATAAAATTCCATGTTCCACATACCTATTCCATGAAATGATGGCTAATATACCTCATCCCTTCGTTTTCCATATATCCCACCATTGAAGAAAGGTCGTTCTCCTTACCGTCTGATGCCTAACTACTGTTACCAATCCCTTTTACGAAAAAACTCATGAAATTGTTTCAAAGGTAGGTAATTTTATAGAAATGTACTGTCTCATGGTACCTTGATTTCTCTCCTTGCTTTGTTAATAAGCGCTCTCCTCATTTTTTTCTTTCTGCACAATCAAAGTTACACATTTGCTTCATATTGTGCGGAAATTCTCAAGTCCTACTTTGATCGATAATTTATATTCTTCCATTCTCTCTGTATAGTGAAAGGGTCATCCAACTCCGAGGGCGCTTCAGTGTTACGGTCTTGTGTTTATTATGTACCTGGAAGGGGATGAATAAAGTCTCAAACTGTCGTAAACAGTTTTCAGGAAGTTGTCAATGAGCGTATCAACTTGAGAAGTACTCCTATCCATTTCATGCGTAGCTTCTAAGACGATGCAGATTATTCATCGGCCAAAAAACTTACTTCCTTACTTTATTGCGTGATGAGCATGAAAATCCTTCCAAAACACCATCGCCGCCCTCATGAGAGCCTCGTTAACTTCCATTGTTGCCCTCATTTTTGCCTTCAAATAGGCTACATTGTCCCTCCAAACGTGTACAGCCTGTACTCATTTCAAACAGGACATGATACAAAAAACTTTCCAGGGGAAGCAAACTGATGATAGTCAACTTCAATAAGGTGATCTTAGACATAGGGCTCTCCAAGGGATCTAAAACTTCGCTAGGAGAGACCTAGGTGACACATACGAGAACGCTGTATTTTTTTTGAATAGATGTCACTGTAACTTTCTGGAAAAGCTCAGATTCCAAGTAGGGATCGTGAATATATTGATAGAGACTGACCTTCGCTCGAAGATCATGTAGATAATGCCTAAATGCCATTTGCTTGGCTATCAGCCCATGTCGTCGGTGTTGCACGAAGAGATGCCAAGACTTCATACTCAGTTGCTTCAATCGAACTATCCGGAAGTGATTTCCCATCTCGGCTCTCCTCCTTCGATACTTGATCTCTTTCAAAGCTTCTCTCAACCTGCAATATAATGAAAGGCCAAAACATTTTCCATCTCACATCAACTGGATTGGAAAACTTTTCAAATCCTCATTGAATCTAATAAACGTGCATGTGTATGACATATATCTCATGTGGAAACATATTCCTTAACGTGATAAATAGCAATCCCTCCAACGTTGTTTTGGAACATGCTTCTTTCAAAGCAAAAGTTAACTTTGAGGAACTCAAGCCGGGCTATGCACTCTTTGGTCTAACAATCATCCGCAAAAACCAAAAAGAACAGTTAAATAATAGGCTCCTTGTCCATGCGGGAATCAATCAAGGTAGTCCCCACATTGAACGTATCAGGATAATAAGACCCGAACCTCTGGAGAGTTCTTCTCCTACACCAGTGCTCATCTTGTATGCATGCTTGTTCAAACTTCATCCTCTTCACCCATTTCCCACGGACATAACCTCGCCAAGCTGCCATAGCTCCTTTCATAGTCATGTTGTTTATATGAGCTTGAACAGTGGCGAGCTTTTTCCTCTTTGGCCTAGCCCAACACTTCAAAAACTGGAGCCATTGCCCAAGAGATCGCTTGTAAATAACAAGGTTCAAATGGCGTTTTGCGAGTAAAGAGAGACGGCGTTCATCTTCTGTGCTTAACGCCGTACTCTTAGAGGCCTCCCTCCACTGCTTCAGCATTCTCTTCAAGCAAACTAGCCTCCAATGCTGAAAAGCCAGTTGGTTCAGCTGAGGATTAATTTTAGCTCGAATGACATAAGTCTTCCAGGAATGCCAAGCATGGATTACACGACCCTCGGCTCGTCGCTTCAAAGCATCCTTGTGTTTCTTTTGAACAATGTGTGCCATTCGCCAAGCTTTCCAACATAGCAACACACATTCCTGTAACACGAAAACCTTGTGTTTATTATTCAGTACTTTGCAGAGCTGAACCAGATCGACCTTTTCCACTAGATGTCTCGCCCGGTGCTACTACTGAATTACCTTCAGTATTCTAAGCTCTCTACTTCTCGCCTTCACCGTGTCGTATGCATAAATCAGTAGTAATGAGGTCACAGCTTATTGCAGTATTCACCAATACTTGAATCAAGCTCACATTAGTCATCTCCAGGGTGGGCAAAGAACTCTCAAGTTTGTGATTAATGTGGATATGTGATTACTCACACGTCACATACAATTGATGCGTCAGTAAATTTGGTGAGTCAAGATAATTACACATCCTCATTCAGGTTATGTATCTATTGATTAGTTTACCATCATCAAATCTCAATGTAACGATCTCTGCCCACCGAAGTCTAGCATCAGCAAAGATACCAATCTTACAGCATCCAGGCTGAACCAGACTTACTCGCTTATGGAAGGTATGCCACCAGGACACGATTGGCCAAGTTGAGATTCCTTCTCAGTAGTCTCTTAGTCACCGGGTGAATCATCTTAAAAATCATCTTAAAATTATCACCAGAAAAGCTTTGATTTATGTTGTCAGTTATTTCACAGAAAAGCGTGCGTTTCCTATCTGTTTGTTGCTAGCCTACTTCATTATTTCTTCACCTGGCCCATTCTGAGCATTTTTTAAATAGACTGGTTACCTGGGCTTGACGAAGAGATGCTAGTCTCATTTGTTTTGATCTCTTCGCAGCCAGTCGTAGGGCCCGTAGACCACGCAGGGCACACTTTTCAGCATAGAAATTTTCAGCTATTTCTTGCTGACCGTTCTCAATAGACAGCTCCTGTATTCCTTCCTGAAATCGCCCAAACTGCCTGCGAAGTTGTGCCTTTTGTCCAAGCTTGTCTATCTCCCTGTCCCGTTGCTCCTGTGAACCAGGAGGTCACAACAAGGTGAAGGTCATGAAACTGTGAAGCTCAACCAGCAAAAACTCACGAAGAACCTTCCACTTACATTATATCCTGCCTTCTGATTTATAACATGGACTAGTTGATGGAAGGTGATGCAAAGAACACAGACGATTGATGACAAACCTTGGAAAGGAGGTGACCAAGCTCGGCGCTGTATTCCTCCGTCTTCTTTTTCAGCTGCTCCGTCTCCTCAGAATACTTCTTTAGCTGTTCTTCTAACTTTTGCTTCACTTCGAGAGTTGAGTCTAGCTCAGCCTGCCAAACATCAGATCCAGGAATAAGAAGCAAGAACAGTGAACGGCGAATGGCTGGCTTTAATGCCGTAAACAGTGGATACTACATGAGAACTATGGATAATAGTGTTTTTTAGGACTAAAACTTGTAAGACATTGATTATTCGTGGAACAAGCAGAAGGCGGGGGAATATTATGGATTTCTTCTCTTGGATCCAACCTGCAGGGCTGAAACTCTAGAATGTGTATCAGAGTGCCCTCTCAGATCATCAGACATGGTGGAAATTTGAATCTGCAGAGCAGCGCGCTCTTCCTCAAACTCCTGGACACGTTCTTGAAGCAGCTGCTCCAGGTCCTTCTTCTCTTTCTCAAGTGCAGTGGCCCTGAAGTCCAGTCGAGAATTTGTTACCTCTTAACAAAATTGTATTCTTCGGGACTTGTATTACGGCTGCATAGATATATAGTGATTACCCCAGTTCTTCTCCTTCTTGGTTCTTACTTGAGGCAGAAGGCTTATGTAAGAATCCGTGATCTGCTACTTACATTTTCCGTACACACTTTCGTGCTTCCAGGATAACGACAATATAAGACTTAGTTGCAAAGCTTTCGTCCACTCAGAAATATGACCCACTTACCTCTGAGCCAGGCGACGTTGTAATTCAAGAGTCTGCTCCATGTCCTCGTGCAAAATATTGAGTTCAGATTCTGCTCTCTCCACGTTTTCATGATTTTGTTTCATATAGAGCTCCAATCTGCCTTCAGGTCACCCAAGTCCAGCCCTTGCTTTCAAACAAAACTCGACTTTATATTCGGTATTAGCAGTAGTATCGAGTTCCTCATTGTGCCGACTTCTCACAGTCATTTCTGTCCAATCTCATGAGGCGGCACTATGCGAGTTAAATTATGTTTAGTGCATAATGAGGTTGAATTGCTAGGATGCCAAATGAGGTTCTAGCAAGATTGTGGTGCAGAAAGGATTGCACACCTTTCTCGGAGCTGCTGATTGATACTCTGCAGACGTTGTTCGCCATCAATATGAGCTTCTAAATCTATCTGCAGTGCAGCGACTTGTCGTCTCAATGTAGCGGCATCAGATGCAGGGGGAACCATCAGTCCCTCTGCCCTCAGTCTCGGGCCAAATCTGGCAGGTAAGTGAGGATTCCCTGCTGGTGTGGGGATGGCACTATTTGTTGTAGCTGGTCGCTCACTGCTCGTTCTGACAGCAACGCTGGAGTTTGAAGGACCCCAACCTCCGGACTGAGACAGCTCAACTGGAATAACGGTAGAAGTGGGTTTGCTGAAGGCCACTGTCTTGCTGGACGGAAGGACAGGTGCAGGGCTGTTGGTCGTAAGCGCACTAGTTCGACTTGAGATTCCTGACGCGGTTTCAGAAGCACCATATGCGTTCTTTTCAATAAAGCGCTCAACTCTTGCACCAGCCGAGAAGGCACCACGATCTCTGCCTTCAGTGCTGTATCGGTCAGGTTTCTCTGGGGGATGGTTTCTCCCCCCGCTTGACGTTCCATGGTCCCTCTGCATCTGCAATCGTACCTTAGTCCTAATTTCTCTGAGCGCAAGAGTATTGATATATTAGAGTTCTTCTTCATTTGCCCGTTGTCAAATCTAGATGAGACCTTAGAACGACGATGTTTTGTATGCTGGTTCCATTTCATCTTAATGGGCGCAGTTACAAGAACGAAGACAAGAAAAGGATTGGATAACTCTTACTTTACTCTGACCGCCTTCCATTTCATCTTGAAGATAGATGGGCACAGTTACAAGAAGGAAAACAAGAAAAGGATTGGATAAACTCTTACTTTACGAATAATTCGTTCTGTTTATACTCTCTTCAGGATCCCTTCATTTATATATTTTGTAGTATTGTCTGCAATCCCGATCGTTGTGGGTTTACAGCATAGTGGCTGCTCGGACAGAAGTCTGCATTGTACATTTTCCAGGCAAAGAAATCTTGATAAGACATTCGATTTCAATCATACTGATCATGTGGAGTTTGAAAAAGTTCCACACCTCCAGGTTCATAATCTGTAGACGGACCTCGATAGGGCCACATAATCTGGGATAATCAAGAACCCAGCCCTGAGAATTTCCAATAACTAACATCTTATGAACAGCTCAGACCTTAAGGCGAGAATTCGTTTTCGGTGTTGACGTTCACAATTCGAAGGAGACACAAACGTGGACTGTAACGAGGATGGAAAGGCCAATAGAACCGTACCCAGCTGGGCAGAGGGAAAATCTATTCTACGTTATATAAAAGGCGGCAACTCCGCTACGTTCTTCCAAGAGCACTTTCGGGCTCCGCTGGTGTTTCAGGCGACAAAGCTTTTGACTTCTCCAGCAGTCCTATTGTCCTAGACAGAAGGCTGCCTTGGCGCTGTTTGGGCCTCTAACCTATGCAATCTGCCAATTAAGGCCAGCTCTGTTGTGTTTCCACATTCACTTAGATGACAGTCACTTCTTCAAATTGTCACAACCAAGCTCGGCTCTTGCGCCGCCGTTGCTTCTTATCCATGTTGAAAGCGGGAGGTGAGCGTGGTGTTAGAAAAGTGTTAGGTCAAAGTACCCTTGGAGACAAATCATGGGGCAAATGTCGCAAAGCTGCTCGCGAGACCACCACTGTCCTTCTCAACTGTCATCAGGTTCGGTTCGATCGGAAGGTAATCTGAATAAGCATCCCAAGGTGCACGGAATTTGCTTCCTCCATATTCTCCAGCAAATCACACAAACCACTTGGGCAGGGTGGAAACAGAAAAAGTATGTCTTCCAACTGACATTCATCCGGTCGGGATCTCCTTTCAGTTCTCGTTGGCCATATCCGCGCTGCCGGCCCCCACAATTCCTAAACCTATCTTCAATCACTGTCTAAAATCCACCTGTATGCGAGAAATTTCTACGAAGGGCGAATGACTTCGTCTCCCGATATGAAGATACAACGGGCCTGATTGACCTCGGGCCAACCCCAAGCATTCGAGTCTTGCCTGCGTTTCTTGTCGATGCAGGCGACAAGTTGTTCACGTCTTACGCTGGCATTCAAGCTTTAATTCTGAACGTTCAGCCTCAGCACGATGACGATCCTGCTCCACCAAATACGCTCATCGCCGCGCCACTCTTTCGCGAGTTCCGATTGGTGGACACCCCGCGGCCTTAGCGGTCACGATCCTAACGTGCACGGCAGCGAAGTGCCTGCGAATCCGGCGTTAGGGAAGTTACAGTTACAGCGCAGTCGACCCTAACCAGAACAGCCGCAGCTAATCGTGGCGAGTGACAGGAACCTCGTACGGAAAATCTCGCAGTTTTCTCTTCATTCCACAACCCTGCTCCACAACCAACGGGTCGCCAGAAGCGAGGGCTTTGGCGTCCCTGCCCAGATCGCCAAGCCTTCCCTTCCAAGATTAGCGGTTAGGGTGACGGTTGCCAAATTTCTTTCCTACTCGACGCGTCGACCTGTTCATTGCTCTGAACTTGAGCCGCAGCTCCCACTCCGTCTGCCTTCGTCCGCGTCAGCTCGAAGACGATCTACCATTTTTTCGTATTGGAAACTCCACGAAGGAATCACGGGATTTCCAGTCCTTCAGGGCGGGTCCTTTGGTTTTTGAAGAAAATCCAATGGGATAGTACTGTACTACATATTTAGCCTTTTGACCCTTTGGGTCGCCCGGGCTTGAATTATTACCATTTACCATTTATGGACGAATCGTTGCGTCATTTGAACTTTTTTGGCTTTCGTGTGTTTTTAGAGGACCAGGAATACTTGAAAAAGTGAACTTGACTTGTAAACCCCCGTCTCTGGTTGTGATACATAGGAAGAGCAAAACTGCTTTTATGTTGGAAGTCAAGCTATCATCCCCTTGCTCTTTCTGTTTCGAGTTTAAGAAGGGGTTGAACTCTTCGCGTGAGTAGAACGAGTAGCAAATAAAGGTAGACCTCCATAGCTTGTAGTAGTATATTGTCTCGAATATATCTATTATTTTTGGCCCAACCAAGGCGATATGTCCGATGGCATCGATTTGAATTTTTTGTATGAATTCAAGCTTTTTCCTTTATCTGACTCATTGTTCAGTTTTTTAGATCATTTACTGCAATTCCATTACCTTAAAACTAAACCTAATATTCTCAACGTTACAAAATGCTGATCTTCAAACTCATGCGATTAAAGTCCTGCACTGACTTCTCCAACATATAGCCAAACACTTTGTCGAACATTCACTAATTGAAGCTACCTTTTCCTACCAACAACTTATGAAAGTAGAACAATTCTTCACCAAACATCCCTTGCCCACGTGCAAACTCTCCTTGGTAGCCTTAATCACCTGTACAAGACTCCGACGCACGACAATATTCTCTCTTCAGAGGCATAGTAATACATCACACACTTCAAACGTTCATATGACAATCCATCCAACCGATTATATCCCTAATTCACTTTGGTGACAATAGAGAGATCCACCCTAACTCCCCAAGAAATACAAAACTTGCTTACATTTGGTTGGACCTCTCATTATTAACACACAATACGTGGAATATCCCTGACCTCCTCTAGAAACCTGTTCCACCCATTTGGCACCCAACTCTAATGCACAATCCACCAACACATTCCCCTTACTCAAACCCGAAGAATTCAGACTATCGTCGATCATATCCGTCATAACCTTTGAAAATCAAGTACTCAGTGGTCCTCTGTTTACCAAATCTAAAGTCCGCACCTAGCCGCAAGATGTGTGTCATTTCCGAATTCCAAAGAACCACTTCCAATCCAAGGCTCCCTCATCTAAAATTCGATCCCCTTCACAATCTGAACAGGTCATCCTTCTCCAATCCACACAAACTTTCTGAGCGACACACGTTCACAAGTTTAGGTATCATCCCTCATCATTTGATATAGCTTAAGTCGCAGACCGGGTTATACCACCAGATTCAGTTTCAAGTCATCCATGAGGAAAGCCCATTCATCAAGTTCAATTAGAAGCCTCACCCCCAATTGGAATCGATTCTCGGCATTGCGATGACATGTAGAGGCGAGCAGAGAGAAACGGCTGCTCAGATCATATTGACGAAGATTTTTGAATGCAAACGATCCAGCTAGGGTAGCATATCCGCTTGGTTTCAACTCTGATTCAAAGTTACTGTCCTAAGTAGATAAGTGGACCTCAAGGAAGCCTTGTGCCGGCTGCTGCGGCGGAATGATTTACTCAAAGGCATCCGCTTGCCCCACCAACATCCTGGACGTGGTGGACCCGAACACGGTTGCGCCGGAAGTCCATGGCAGCATATAACTTGCAGGTCGACGCGATGACGGCAGTCACAATCGGCCTTCTCTGCATTCAACCAGATCCAAGGAACAGGCCGCATATGCTACAAGTTTTGAACATTGTGACGGAGTTCAGATATGCGTGATGTGCTGGGGCTGAGTACCCCGCCGTCAACAAGTTGCCCAATAATTGTGAAGATTGGAAAATCAGCATCACCATCACCATCTTTTATTTTTATCCAGCCTATAAATTATGCAGTCTTGAAGTTTAGTAGTTTTATATTCGCAGTTGAATTTCCACATATGCAGCTGCATGAAGTTAACCTTCTATGTCCACATCATCAGGTTTACAGTTTGGTCTTGTAAAATCTGATTGGAGGTTTTCGTAACTTTTCTCCTTGTACATATAGTCGTATATACTGCTTATACTTTACTTATATATATAAGTATATTAATTATGCCGTCATTAGGCTACAACCGTTTTCTATTTAAACATTCAAGAATATTTACTGCATCCACAAAGCTGATTTGATGATTATTCAAAATTGCTGCATTATCTCATGATAATTCGATTTTCATATAAAAGTATGACTTTTGAGTACTTTAAAAAAAAATCGTTGTTTGGGTTCATCCAACGACTAGTCATAAGACAAATCAGATATGAGATAATAATACTTTCTAAGTGTTGATGATTATGCTTGACATTGTATAGAAAATCTTTATGCATTTATTGTTATTGAATTTATTTGAAACAATATTTGTTCCATTATTGACTTTATGTTATATCAAACATATTCTCACTAAATTATTTTATTTAAATTAGTACATTTATTTATTACCAGAAGATTTCATATTATATGTAAAGAGTTTGAAATTTTGATGTAATGTTATATTTAAACATTTTTATCTAAAGTCAATTACCAACAAACTTATGATTATCATGTGAATAACTTCTTGACTCTTCAACCCTTAGTGTATAGCACAACTCTGTAATATTCTACTGGATGTCTAGTTATGATCGAATTTTACATGAGATTGAGAAATTTCTATATTAGTTTCTCAATAATTTTCTATCAAGCAGTTTTTAAACGTTCTGTCCATTTATTTAAAAAAAATAAAATTAAACACGTCTCTTAAGATTGGAATTAATCACATTCATAATGTCAAATCTTAATTATTTTAAAAACCGTATAAGTGTAAGATGAATCATGAAAGTGAAAGCAAAGTTTTGAATATATTTTATTTCGATTATGACTACAAATAATTTTGTTTTAAATCATCATCATTCAATCAATTAGAATGGAAGAAAGGAAAATGTGGAAAAATGGAAATTAGTATCCAACGAACAAACAAAGATAATTGGTCTTAATTCATAATTGTGTGATTTACTGAGAATTTTACATATATATCATGAATATTGTAAAACGTATCAAAATTAAGAGAGATATTCCAAAAGGAAAAAAAGTATGTGTGTGTACAAATAGATAAAGCAGTATAAGCTGGTATTTATGGTAACACAACCACATTTCCTACATAGCCATATCATAACATTTACATTGAACCTATCATTAAGATTACTAGTGTTGTTATAAGATCTACTTTTCAAAGGGATTGATTCTACACTTATTTTTGGCAATGTCACCAGAAATATGCCAAAATTTTGATGTGTTTAAGCACAAGATTGGTATGATTTGATTAAGAGCTTGTTAACTATGATAAGTTTGATTTATAATATCTTGTTAAAATGTTGAGGTAAGTTCAATATCTTGAAATTCTAGAACAAATTTGAGCTAAATATTCATTTTAGGTCATGGCGAACATCTGGTTTATATTCGTTGCAGTGTTTCCACATTTCAAAGGTATTTAGTAATGCTCATCTGGGTCTCGATGAACGAATATATCATAAAGGAGTATTTGCTAAAATAAACTCTTGGTACTACAAGTTATCATTGTCGATGTTCTTTAACGAAGTTAGCTATGTCAACAAGCGTAGCATATTTTGTCCCGGGTTGATTTCAAAAAACTGCAGGTGATTTCTGAAGGAAAGCTTAAGGTTCGCTACTTTGAGTTCGAAATTTATTCCGAGATGGAATATTTATTCGAGTCCGCTAGCAATAACTTTCCCATTCTTCCCTCCCTTTTAAGGCTTTCCCTCGCGTCCAGTTCTCCGACGTGGCAAGAGGCTTCAACGGTGCTTGGATCTTTGAGTATTTCACTAAGTAGTGTTGGACTGCTCTGGTTAGGTCCTGTAATAATTGATTAGGTTATCTCCGTAGTCAAAGAGCTGGTTTAAGTCTTCTATGAGAGTTGCAGAGGAAGATTGGAGACTGCGAATTTAAAGTGCATAGTCGCAAGTTCCTGTGTGGATAATGGCATTATGGCCTGGATATATGAGCTTAATATCCCCCGCTAGATGATGGGCTTGGGACCGTGATGCATCCAGCGCAGGACAATGCATGCAGTGGTGAAAAGACTGTCACCTGTAACAGCCAGCACAAGGCTCCAGATAAAAAAATACGTCTTAACGAAGAAACAGCTTTCGGATGTGATGTACTCTTATTGATCTATCCACAACTTCACCAACAAACACACAATCTCCAAATAGTCAGCTCTATTGTAAAATTTATTTGTAGGTAATCTGCATCCGACGTTTACACATGGTATTGACAGTAATGATTGATGAAAACGATGCAAACTGCGTACACCTAACAGAAAGAAGAACGGCTACTGGTCTCGTCTTCCTAGTGATCAGAGTATGTGTTAGATCAGACGTCGTCTGAAGTAAATCACTTCTAAAGAGTTCAAGCGATATGAACAGAAGATCCAGGTTGACATTATGATCAATCACTCAAGTCTGGCAATCATTGCAGCAGGCTTCAACAAGCCTTTTTAATTATTTACACCGGTGCCGGCAACTTTACGTGGAATCGAGATGAATGTCCAAATCAGGCGGATCTGTAATCTGCAGCTGTTGGGGCGATTCCAGCTCGACTAGAACCATCGGAGCTCGAGCTCGAGGAGCAAGATTCGACTGAAACTCCGCGCTCATGAGCGACCACGTTCTGCACTTGTGAAGGCTGGGCCGAAGAAGGACTCATATGATCGTAAGGAGCAGCAGAAGCTTGCTCCTGATCCGGGCCCGATTCCATGCCGGATTGTGGACTGGAGATAGGACACAGAGGAGCCTCTTGCTGTTGCGCAGTTTCCAGGCGTGATTGCTCGGCTTGCTGGTGAGCCGTGGCTCGGATGCGCGATTGCTTATTGGAGACTTCCCGCTTCAGCTCCTTGGCCTTCTCGGTGGCCTGATCGCGACCCTCCTTGTTGAAGGGATGCAACATCTTATACGCAGTCTCAGAAGCTCCCACGATGGTCTTCGACAGCTTCTCCTTCGCCCCGGAGGTCAGGAATACCAAATCCTCCTTCGCATCTATCTTCTTGTTTGGCTGCGTCGATTCCTGAGCCATTTCAGATCCTCTACCGCCTCGCGTCCTGTCCTGTCCTGCCCTGCCCTTCCTGTCTGTCTACAGACTCCGTGGCACCTTCGAGAGCGATCGATTTTCAGACGTCCCACTCTCTGCTATCGGAATTATCACAGCTGAATATCAGGAGCTACGCCAAACACGAAGAATTCCACAGTTCTGATCTCGATCATCCTCGTTCAGGTCTCTCGGGGGCAATTGGCAGAGTTGGAAAAGAGCGTTCCAGTTTCCGTGCTGTTATATTGTACTGCATCCAGTTCCTCGCATGTCCGCCACTTGGCGGCAGCGGACCGCTTCCAAGTGTCTCATCGTCACCTGCCGGACGCAAAGAGCTGTCATGAAGACCGGAACTCATTGTCATCTTATACCCCATCCTCAGTGGTCCTCTCACCTTCGACTTCGAGCTCCGAGTATATTCACAAGCTCGCATTGAGATCAGGGGGTCGTGTCCAAATAATTTCGGGCTGCAGGAGATTTCCTGGATTTCTGGAAAATGCCATTGGCCATTAGCTTCATCGTTTCTCCTTCAGAGCTTAAGAGCTCCTCATTTTCCGCTTGGTTCAGAGTATTTTAACATGTTCTTGCAAGTCGTTTAGCCCATACAATCAGTTTTTCTAATCCATCATGAACATATGTTGATGTTGATCTTCATTCCGTCGCGAACAAAGTTTGACAAATGGTACTTTAACGTATAAAATACATGAATGTTCGAGTGTTCAGCGTGACTAATAGCTACAAATTTTGATTTTAGTTGTAGAGCGAATTGGCGGATAAAACGCCATATACATATTGAAGGATACTTCTGTAGAGTATATCTCTAAATGGTGAAGATTTTTACACCGTTTGAGTAATATTCACAGATGTGTTATTTATAACGATAATATCGCCCATTGTAACAGGGAATATTCCAACGGACACCCTTATTTTTTCAATATTATGTCGTCGAATACTCACAACTACTTGGAAAGTGCTAAATCTGGAAGGAAATGTATGGTCTCCGCGCAGATGTCTCGAATCCCAGCTAAAAATTGTAAATTTGTAAATTTCACTCATGGTTTTCGCAAAACAAATATAATGACTATAACTTTTTAACCTCTATGAGCACCACCGACAATGGAGTATAAGAACTATGTACATGATAATGAAATTCGCAGCCGACTACTGATTTCGCACAATCCAAAGTCGAGTCATTAGCTACGGCAACTTGAAAGAAGTGGGAAAAGTTCGAATTACTGTGCGATATTAGGTTTCTACGTGGTTTAGGCCTGCCACATATAAGGCAAATGATATATATACTCACTTATACTTCGCGTTAGTTCTTTGTTAAGCACATCAGACAATCAAATGAAACAGAATGTGCACGACTGTAGAGACTCCGCGGACAATGGCATAGAAAGTTGCAGATCTGTTTATAATCAGCGAAGAAAGATTTCAATAGAGGGATGTCGCATCATATCTCTTTTGTATCCTATGTTTAATGTGAAAATTGTGAGGTGCTTATCTGCCAGAATTAAATATAACATTTCCCTATTCTGTGAAACCGGAGCCCAACAGTACCAAAACTGTAAGTTACATCGCGAATGATGAAAAACAACGCCCCACTCCGAATAAAAGTCAAATCCAATGAACTTTCTTACACTGGTGATAACTAAAACTCGTAGCAGTATCGAATACAACATCCACAGTGCAGTTGTCCACCATATACATGTTTATTGTTCGGAAAATGAGTGTATTTCAGCTGCATTATTTTGACCTTGAGTAAATAAACCAGGTTCATAGCAAGTCCGATTGATTACGGTGTACATATCTATACAGCCTTTGTCATCACTTTCTGATGCATGTCTCTTTTCAAAGCTCGTACAAAACTCTATCCAACCAAATTTCTGTTAGTATGCAGTTGGCTGTAAAGCTCATGGATAGCTGTAGCGGAAGATGGATCTTGATAATCGGTCTGAAACATGCAAGAAAACGTCGATATAGATCAGGAATATCGCGTCTGAAGGCCTCATGATGTGAACTTGTCTTGAACAGCTGTATGTCACAACAACGTACTAAATATCGTTGTCTTTAGAATTGTATATACAACATGTCATGCCTTCAGCACGCAATCGTCCATCTTAGATCATCTGACGCAGAACCACGATGTAAGATCAGCTCATGCAAATACAAGATGTACCAGAAATCTGAGACTTGAGATCTCCTACGTTTGATCGATATGATAGAGACTGGTGTTGAAAACCACATAAGTACATTTTTTCGAGTTTGGGAAAAAGAACATCACTATGGATATACCTTCGTTGCTAGTGTTTAGGGCGAGGATCCTTTCCAAATCCCATAATAGTGTGGGTGACAAGCATGTTGAATCGACGCCAACCTTCAGCTGCCCGTCCGACCAGTGGGACTCTGACCGTATGCCTTGTCCACAAGGGTTTCTTATCCCAGCTGCAAATTGCGTGGAACACATCACAACGAGTTATTACAATAAAACATCCGATACTTACCCAAGTTTCTGCAAATGATACACGACGTAAATTTAAGCAGTGTAATGCAGGAGGACAATCCAAGGAGCTTACAGATCTTCATGTCGGACGACTTTCCCATCTTGGACCTGTAACATTGAAGAAATTTGAAAGTCAGCAAAGAGAGAGATATTTTTGAGAACTAAAGTATCAAAGAAAAGTAAGAACACATCTGGATATCAAGCAGATGTCAACTGTCAAGGTCTGCGTACTTAGTATCATTGTTAAGTATTTGTGTCATTCATTCACGTCCACGCATCTACGAAGAAGCAAAAACCTGATGGAGAGTAGACGTAGTGACACGATCCGCATACTGACCTGTATTTTAATAAGAGATCTCATATCAACCGCTTGGCCCCATACTTTGTAGTGCTGCACGTTGTCGATACGGATCTGCCGACAAGGAAGTGAGAAAACGTTGTCAGCGTTAGTGCTTATCCAAGAATGAAGCAAGTATTGACCTTCTAGTAGGTAAAGCAGAGTAGGATTTCAACCTGTAGGACTCATCTTACCTCGCCAGCTCCAGGAGCAGTTTCATCTTCTTGCACAAAGTACTCTCCCATTTTGGCTTCACTGAAGACCTGCTCAAGAAAGTCAGTCATTTCATTATCAGGATTAGGAAGAAAGTTCAGATCTTCGGCAGAAGTAGCAAATTATGCTTCGTGAATGTCTTCAGGAGTAACAACATCCATCCCTCAGGCGTGTGCAAATTTGATGAAAATCGAAGAAGATAGATACTGCTGACTGCAGTATTTATTACCCGACATTAAACTCTTCAACACATGCGACTAGTGGTTAAAGTTTCATGATCTGTGTGTCAGTAAGTACCTTCGGAATGGCGTAAAATGCTGATTTGATCTGCTTCACCCTGCATGACCAAACAAAAACAGATGAAAGTAGTTAAACGGCACAACCCTGCCCACAGTTTATCGACGTCTAGGTAAAAACTAAGATAAATGACTCTGCACACCCACTACTGAAATCAAAATGGGTTAAACCTCAATGTAAGCCATATTGCAGAAGAGAAGCTGGAATCAGGACTGAGATTTCAACCGGTGCATTCGAAAAGAAAGACGAACATTATGTACAGTGCATATCGAACCTACCCTTTTGCGCACATGAGGGGATCCTCGAACGAGGCATTGGAAGCATAGATCTCGAAATCAAGAGCGGTTGCTTCACAGTTGTACCTGCAGCATTGTACAAACCGCTGTTACAAAAAGGTAACCGTCTGTTCATCAAACGTGAAAAATGTGAGTTACACCGAACCACAGTAAGTGGCACCTCACCTCAAAGTAATTTAGGACTCAAATGAAAACCGTGCTCTGCAGTGTCCAATGACTTCCCATCATCATATTGAAAGCATATCATTCTGACACAGAATACTGCAACTGCGGCAAATTTCCACCTTCAAGTGATGTACAATTTTCACCGAGCTGGCGAGTATGTCAATCGATCATGCCAGCGTCAGTTCATCCACACAAACCATGAAATACTCACAAGTTAAGAATGTGGGGCATAAGATGGGTCGCTAGTCTCCCAAGTTCTTTGTCAGTGTCGATCCCTTTCATGCCTGGCTGATCATTTGCTGTTTTGGCAGTTTCTTCGGAAATGTTATGGTCCATTGCTTGAGATCCTACAAACGTACGGTTCTCAGAACAGGAATTCTATACTTCTAAGAAAGAGAAAAATAACAGAAGAAAAAACTTTTTTCTGAATTAACTGAAATGTTCTGTTCTTTCAGGAAACAATAGATCCTCCTCCGACATCAACGTTAACGACATACACGAGGACTAATGACAAAGTACTGCATACTCGAAACTCCAAAAAAAACTTACGAACCTAGTTCAATTATTACTTGGGTTATGTTGAGATACAAGATACCATAATACAAAAAAAGTCACAACACAAGTCGGTGATCACTTTCAAACCTAAAGTGAGTCATTTACCGAATACACTAAGAAGGCAGCACAAACAGGCTGCACAGTAGCAAGAAACAATTTACCCCGGCCCTAAGATCCTATGCCTAACCAGCTCAAAATACCTTCTACCTAATGGTTGTTCAAAGCAGCCCGTCGATTTTCGGTTGATCCAGCTGAGTTAGATAAATATGGTCCTATATTCAAACTCAATCAAAGAGTGACATATCAAAGACCAATATTCAAATGCGTCGTGCTAGACGCAACCAGAATTCTGTTCGCACCTGAAGCTTCAGTCTCAGTCATGTCTGCGGCTTCTGCTGCTGCTGGTGTTGACGACAATCTTCTGTCCAAAGTACCGAGTACCGTGTGTGCTCGGAAGAAGCTCAAAGGAGTGTCAAGAAGACGAAGAACTCAAATTCGTGTCCGCGCAGTGAACCAAGAATTTCTTTCTACGAACACACGTTGCGCTCAATAACACATTTCTCCACCGATGGCAAAGAGGCTCCACGTCTTGTGGGCTTCGATCGAAGTCCAGCTGTTGAAGCATTCTTCGCGGCTGTAATTCCATGGCTAGCCTACGGCCAGCCCGACCGTCGAGCATGCGACTGGCATTAACAGGTCAAGCGCTATGATGTTCCCTGAACCGAACGTTGCAAGAGAAGACGACATTCTATACAAGAGCGCGGTCGGTGCTTCTGAAGGGTGATCCATCTTCTCACTAGAGAGGATAACCTCCAATTGTCCGTTCCTGTCTGAAAGTCGACCGGTTAGCTGTAATATTAGCTTGAATGGGGACAAATGGCAAGCACGAAAGTCGAATGACAGTCATCGTAGGCCACACTCAGCACTTTTGAGCGGGGAGACATCGATTAATACATAATTAATAATAATAATTCAAAAATAATATTCTAATTCAATGGCCAAAAGAGAAATTTATGTGAGCAAGGTGAGACAAGTGTCGTAAGCCCTCTGTTCATGCAGGATCGGCGGAGAGATGACGTGTCTTCTTCGCATGGTGCCAAATAACACTCTAGCCATCATCAAAGTGGAGTGGCTTTCCATGTCTTCACATTTTTGACCAGTTTCTCAGTTGCAACTGTGACCTGATGCAATTTTGTATTGCAAGAGAAGAGTGCTGTCAGTGTTGTATTCGATATTTGATCATATATATCAGCTGTTAACTTGTGATCAGTCGAGCACCTAATACATAGCTTCCAGAGAAAGGATCGCTAATCATGCACCTTCTAGAATTCTTGAATATCACAGATTCCACAATTTCCCTGCACAGAGTTCTTTGATATGAATATCAGAGGCTCATCTGTGGAACTTCAACATGAAAAGGTTCGTATACGCGGACCTACAGCAGATGTTCAGTCTCAAAGGCTCTGGTCCAAAGCCCTGCCTTGTGGTTATCGGTGTAATACATTGGAGAAAGGTGGAAATAATTGTAGCTGGTCATGAGTGCAGTTCAATCTTAAAGTCAGGTCAGATTCCTATAGCTCAGGGATTCACTCCCACACGGATCATGGACGTAGACAAGATGCGTAGTTTCAAACCTGTCATTTTAATGTCCCATCTCTAGTGACAATATGTCTGCTGTTCATCTTATCGTAGCATTTGCAATTGTGCTCCTTTTCTGAGCAACTTACAGCCAAGGCCGAAGCTTCGCAACCGCGGTCTGACTAATTTTGTCATTGTAATCAAATCCTGCGATCCTGCTATGGGGCTAATTACATCACACTCTCAATGCTGTCACCACTTGCAAGTATTCCTTCGAGTGTTACTGAACCACAACACATCCTTTCAGGCTCGTCCAGATTATGAACGCAGTCACGTGCATTACTTGGAAAAGCGAACGAAGAGCTCTATCAGCGCAAAACAAGGCGCACTTTTCTTCAGATTTTCAAGGTTATGGTCAGTTCTGAGTAGGGTTGGAGGCACAACCTCAAAGGGCATGCCCCAGGGCGAGGGCACGGGTTCATGCCTCGTTCGCATTAATTTGTTTATTTCCATACAGGCATGCCTGTATGGAAGTAAACAAATTAATACGTATATCTAGAACTTTTTAACCATTTTACTTCTGAGAATGTTTTATTTTCGTTTACATACATTTACGAATACGCTAAATGTACGTATTGTAATACAGGCATGCCTGGAGGTATGGGTCATGCCTTGTGAACTTGAAAGTGGGCATGGGCACAGCAAAATATTTTTGCTGTGACTCTAACTCTAGTTCTGAGACTCAAAATAGAAGACATAGTTCAACTACCTTTAATAATCTTTCTCACACATTCCATCGAGCACGCCTACCCGACAGCGGAATGCATTGATTCACGTCGATTTCTGTTTTCTTCGATTTGTACCTAGACAGAATCACCCTAAACTACTACGGTATCTAATTTTAACTTGTACGGAAGCATGGCTAGAAATAGAAAGACTTATGGCGTTCATTTCGCATGTTGTAACTAGGTGCTACATCTTCATTGAAAATTTATATCTTTCAAGCTATATTAATTTATGTAGTTAAAAAGAAGTTTTGATATAGATTGAGGAGATTTCGAAAAGTGATAATTGAAAGAGCAAATTATACTTCATGAGACTCAAAATAATAATTCATATGATAAATCAACCAACATTTATACAAGAAGATCATCAAATTTTATTAGTGTTCCGTAGCTTCACACTTAAGTAAGCAACTGTTTAGTTAAGCAATTTTGAAAAAAAAATTCAGGTATCAATATTTTCAACTATTTCACTTCAAATTTCAAAAATTTCACTGCAAATTTCAATGTAAATTCTAGTGATTTCATTGTAACATATAGTGAATTGTAATTGACACATTTTGGTTTTTCTGCGTCAAGATTTGATTATTATTGCTAATACAGTACCTTAGCTTGGAATACTTCAAACAATTTTTTGAGATCGTTTAACAACATTTCTTCAAGTTCAAAAAATCGTCCAATCGAAACTCTAGAGGTAATCTGCCTAGTTTCTTCACACAGTAAAGCTGATAGTTCGAGAATGAAATCTAGTTTCTCCTATATTTTCCTTATAGAACCTGTAACACTAGGGTTTAGAGAGAAGCTCACTCGAAAATAGAAACGTAAACTCTGAAGATGAGAGATACCAACAATGTTTCTACTCTCCCTTATATAGCTCTCACCAACAAGTACAAGGTGATAAGATCTAATCCCCACCATCCATCCCACTCCTAGTGAATGGATGACGTGGCGGATAATCCTAACAAGCACACGGATCGCTTACGTGGCGCACCCAACTAACACACTCAATCCTTACCTACAAGCACACGGATTGCTGACGTGGCACTGTCAACTAACACGTCCACTCTGTACCTACCAAGTGCGCGGATCGCTGACGTGGCAGCTATGACTAGTGCACACTAAAGTATCTACATCAATAGTTAGAGTAACCTCTACTTTAGTTCTAACTAACTACAGATGGTTACAGCACCTTCGATAATTTCATAATCATGCGCTAAAGCGCGTTTGCTTGGAGTAATATTCTTTCTAAGTTTTCAAATGATCTCACATCGTTGGGACTTGTTAAGAAGCGCTTGGTGTTCAATTGTTTCTACATTACAGCTCTATGCAAATTATCTGGAAATAAAAATGTTATGTATGTATCTCTTGGTTAAATACGCATATAGGGTTTAAGCTGCTTACTTAAACCCTATATAGTGGAAGACTTCAGTACTCTTACACGGTATGAATTGTAGTTTGATTCAGCATCTTGAAGATCATGATATTAAAACTGAAAAGGTTGATGGCAATGCATTGATTTTGAAAAATGTATTATTTTTTATATATAGAAGTTTTTACTTGTCAATGAATGTGTGACTTGTAATGTATTTTTCAACCTTTTGATCCTTTAGATCCACCGTCATGACGTATTTAGCATTTATAAAAAATTTCAGATCTTTATCAATAAGTTTGTCATATCCATATGTGTTGTGAATAATTAGTATCGGATTAGGGTTAACTCTAATTGAATTAACCCTAGGTTAGTATACACTCCTGTTAGAAAATATAGACTAGCGAAGATTCCAAAAAACTTCAGTTCTTCGAGTTGAGACTTTAGCATTGTGAGTAGTTCTTAGTGGTTTGACTATGGTGTCCCGCTAGCATCAGTCTCGATTCTCCGAGTTGTGGAGTGGATTTGGTTCAATTTCATAAGAGGTTTTTGTTTAAAGCCAACTTGGTTTGCATAAGATTTCACAACTGATATATTTGTGTATGTGTATGCTTTTGATCTTTAGATGGATGTTGTACAACAATAGATATTTGCATGACAAGTAGGAGTGCAACATTTCCATGAAGTATGAGATGCATGATTGATAATAGTACATGAAAACTAGTGAAGTTTTCAAATAATTAATATATGATTAATTGCAAGTGGATTTATAAACTAAAGTGTAATTAAAGTTTTATCAGATGAGAAAGTTGTGGATTAGATAAAGCATTTACAAGTAGCAAAATGTGATTCAATTTGTTTGGTATTAGACCGTGTTATAATATTTAGATTAATTATGATTCGTATGAATATAATTTTAAAATGTTTCATGAATCTTTGAAATAATAAATTTACATGAGAAAACAAGTAGGCTTTGAGATTAAAGCTTATAAAAATTATGGTTTGTAATTGTTGAAATCACTATGTTATTTGAATCAAATTTCTATCAAGTGAAATGCAAGAATTGATGAACTCATGAAAGCACAAAAACTTTCATGACATGTATATGATACATGTTTATACATGGAGAAAGTGATGAATTAAAAATTTTAATCTCAGTATTTAAATAATAACGTTGATAATATATACTTTGAAAAAATCAATCCAACTTGAACATTTGCAAATTACAATTGAAGTCTGCATTCAAGATAAAAAAATTATGATAAGTTCAAAAGTATATAGTATTAAATGTTACTAAATATTTGAAAAAAAAAAGTTAAATCAATTCAAAGATTTTTAACAAGCGTTTGAATAATTTTTATGTGAAATTTCAAAGTAATTTGAAATTGTTTAAAATTCTTTGACAACATATTTTAAGTTTTGTGTTGTTAAAAAATGCTAATAAAGAGAAAAAATGTGATAAATGTTTTTTGGCTTGTTAATGAGTTGTTTCATGTATTTAATAACATGCATAAGACATCATACTATTTTAACTATGATCACGATGAACATTTACATGTTGAGATTGAAATTAAGTGCATTCAAAATTTGTGAAATGAATTCTTAAATATCTTAAAAAACAAATGATTATGATTTTTTGTTTAATGTTCTATTAGATAATATCAAATCTTTGTTAGACTATTTTAATAGTGATTAAAAATTATCTAGATGAAAGAAATTCTATAATCAGATACATGTTTATTGTTGATGATAGATATATAAGTTGAAAATCTATTTTACAAATATGCACAGTTCATTTAACATAAGAAGTCAAACATATAGCAAGCACAAAAGTAGCAAAAGATATTATGATTGAATAATTTAATTTTTGCACTAAATTTAAACATTATCAATCATTATAATGATATTCAAAATGCATTATATCTTGCAACAAATCAACTGGTGGTAATAGGATGAAACACACTCTCATTGGATTCATTCTTTGTAACATGCAATTTTTTAAATTTTTTAAGATTGAATTATTGAAGATTGATAATAATTCATTCAAACTAATGCACTTACAAAGAATATCCAGAAGTTCTTAGTAAAAACATTTTAGAGTTATTTACTTGATGAAACTCCATCGTTACCTAAGTTGCTTGATGGAATCCATCAAGTTTAGTTTTAACCGATGGAATCCCACCGACGGCACAACGTTGCCAACTTCTAAAAGGTGTTCTTATACACCAAAGCTCGCATCATATACGAGCTTTAGTAAACCTCCGCAATTACAAATCTTAGAACGATGAACTGTGACAGACATTGTCACACGTGCATAGAGGTTTTGAGCTGTTAGAAATTAGAGTCGTTGACCAATAGCAGACATATAGAATCTGTAGAGTAAATTTACAAGGAAGTAAGTTGAATACTAGTGAATTTAAGTGTCAGATAATTTTACAAATTTTGGTGCAATGAGGAATTCTTAGACTAAGAAGGTTCCGGTTCCGATTGCGCTTAGTGAAGATTTGAGCAATTCAATGAGGACGACGAGACAGTCTGGCTGTCACAGTTTCACTACTTGCACCGTTTGTTCATACTAGAACATGCATGACGTGTACCTTCGGATGTATTACATCGGATAAATTCAAACTTAAAGTGTTCTAGTAGCACTTTAAGTTCAGATGAGGTACCATCAAGTAAATAACTACATTTTTTTCTGTAGTTATATCATAATGTCACAAATAATTGCAATAAATTTAAAGAAAAAGAATAATAAAAAAATTTGTGGTTTGTAGTCTCATTGAAATGAATTTCATATTATATCTCTGCCAAATATGTATTTATTTTGAATATTTTATTGATAAAAAAAAGAATATCAGATTTTTGAATCTAAATATCAAAAAACTCAAATCCCAAACCATTAAAGATGAGAAAAATCAAAAGTATTAGAAATTGATAGTGAAAAAATTAAAGATTAATTATTTTGATAGAATAATCAAATTTTTTTTATAAATATTGGAAACAAAAAGTATGAAGAAATATGTGAAATATTCATATCATTGTTATTGTTTGAATTTTGAACTTTTAAGATATCATTCAGAAATTGTCTTGAAGATTGAAGAGTCAATTTAGCTAAACGAAATATAAGCTTATCAAGGAAAAGTAGTTTAAAAGTTAAATTGATGAACAATCAAATTCTCTGAAGACTATGAAACAAGATTTGAAGCAGTTAGAGAATGAAATGAAGATAAAGTAACATTTTTTGAATAAATTCAAGAGCATTGTGAAATCTCTGAACCAATTGAATTGAATCTTAAATAAAATGACACAAAATTTGGCGTAGAATTGAAGAAGAAAATTAATGTATATCAGAATTTTTTGAAATCTTTCAATAGCATTGTGAAATCTTTGAAGCAATTGATTGATTCTTTACAAAAAATGACATAAGTTTTGACATAAAATTGAAAATTGATTTTAAATTATACTAACATTTTTTTAATGATTTCAAGAGCATTGTGAGATCATTAATTCAACTAATTTGATTTTTGAATAGAATGAATTTTGATGAATAAAAAAATCGAAAGAATATAATTCCAATAACATTTTAAGATATGAGTATGAATTAGCTTGATTATCAAAAAATTCACAACTCAAGTTTTGATTTCAACTAGATTTTTGACTCAATTGATTTCATTAATGATGCAAGAAAATAAGTACAAGTTGATACAAAATCAAAATCTCAATATTACCATTAAATATCAACTTTTTAAATAGGTGATACTAACTTTTGCTACAAAATTATTTTCTGAATAAAAAAATTTCACATGAAGTGAAGTTTGAATATATCCGCATGTTTTTAAAAAAATTTAAAGTTGTATACTATTGAAACTACGTAATCTTAATAATTCCATGGAATATTTTTCACATGATTTTAGATTTTAATTTGTGATGCTATGAATGGTTAGAAATTTCTTGTAAAATGTGTGAAATGAGTAATGAAAAAATATCCATCCGAAGTAAAACAGGTATCTCCGTATCGTATCCGATGCGTAACCTTGGGATGATCTAGAATGGTTTGTACAAGTAGATGAGAAACTTAAGAGTTCTCAATTTGGTCCTTTCACCCGCGGGAAGAAATACAAAGCACACAAACAAAAAACAACAAAACATTGTACGTTAGGCATCACAAGCCCTGTAAAACCCAAAGGTGCTAGGCAAACAATAGGACAATCAGCCTTACAGCTTGTCTTGATGCCATCTATAAACCTATTTTTCTAGATAGCTCGCATGGATTTCGTATTGATTTGAAAGTATGAGAAAGATGAATTGTGGTGTTTGGTGTAATTTGGAAAAGAATGAATTACGGGCTTATGTAAAAAAAATATCAGCTTTCACAACATGCAACATGCATCTTAAGTTTTTCAAATCATCACAGATTTTCTAAGGTTTACACGGGTTTGCAAGGTTTTTCCAAATTTCGTTTGCAGCAATGTTTATTGAACGTTGTGGTAGACGATTCAAACGGAAATCTGTAAATAAAATCTACAACCAACGCTACTACGTCATCAAAGTGAAACAGTGTTAAGTCTACGATTTAAGTCTATTTACTGCAAAGAGTATCTATGTATCCTCTTCCATAATCCATATCTCAAAGTCATCTAGTACTCTCTTCCTATATAGAGGAAGTGAGTCAACATCATTATATGTTTTACTCCCTATTTTCTCCACCTAAACTCTCAAACCAATCTGATTTCAGGGAGCATCGTTTAATTGTTATTGCTTCTACTTTGTTCAACATAGTCTGCAACTGCATATGCAGCGATGTCAACTCAAGGTCTCCAACTGATCTACTACTAGCAAAGTCAAATAAGGCTTTGTTATTGCGAGTGCGCTATTTAGCTTGTGGGTGCCTTCGGAACAAGAGAGTACCTCTGCAAGATCTCAATGGCTAATAACCCCTGCATGGAGGGGTTAAACTAATCTTTCTTTAATATCGAAGGTAACTCCTATCATCTTTAAGTCCTGAAGGTATAAACATATCAGGATGTAAACAGACAATTGTCTTGTCTACAAAAATAACCACTCTGAAATGAAAATTTCCGGCAGAATATCTTAAGGGAACTGGGCTTTGAAAGCTCTCATATACATTATTGCATGGCAACATGTCTTGATATGTCACACTCTTCCACTTGCGACTGAACCTTACTACCGGTTGTGAGAACGATTTGATTTCCCGTTCTCGCCTCCTCTCCTTCCAAAACTCTATCTATGTCTGTTCTATAGCCTTGTGTATCTGAAGTTTTCCAACCACTTTTCAGGAAGGGATGATTCCCCGCTCTCTTTACTCTCATTTAATTTCCCCCATGTTTGTTCCTCTGGCGTTATGTAACTGAAAGAGGAAACTCCCAAATTATAAATTACTTGTTCTAAACAAGGGCTTGTAATGAATTCGATGTGAAGGCGAGTCCACCGCTGTAAACCGTTGTCCTGAGTTGGATAATACAATTTGCCGCGGGGTTGCCACAGATGCACAAGTTAAAGTTCGTACCCAACTCAAATTTAGATCCTGCGGCCACTTATGTGCATTGTGGATGCAGAAATCTTCGATGATACGCCATAAATCTGCCAACCTTCATCAGGTTGGAGATCAAGCTATAATCGTGACGTAAATATGACCAAATCTGGTCGGATAAGCGAGTAAGCCTTGCAAGGAGGGTGGACAAGCCTTGTAAGTACTCCACTTGCGATCTGCAGTAAGGACCTACTATTCCGGCCATGTTGTACCGCTTCTTCAGCTGTCCTGACAGACAATAACGAAATGAGCCAGTGACCACATAGCTGCACATTCCCCAGTGTCAGAGAGGTCGACCTACCCAAAGAAAGGTGAAGAATGTACAAACGCCATGCGCTTGGCACATGGAGAAGATCAAACAACGGCACATAGATCTACCACGGACATTTCGGGGCTATATAAACTCAGCTGATGAGACGTATTTACACCAGCAGTAACCGGAAACTTCTGTCCGATATAAACGGGATACGGTCTAAGAGTAGGCAACTCGTCCTGACCGACACATGTGAGACCAACAATAAAAACAGCCCTTCTGCCTCGGCAAGAAGCTTAGTGGGGTTGCATAGCACAAGTTTTGAATTTCATCCGACAGACGCTAAAAGACAAAGAATACGTCCCTTAAAATAGGAACACGTGAATAGTTGTAAGTAAATCAATCATTTGTATGAAGGCACACATACTGAACACCAGACAGTATACATTTGCTCGCCTCGATGGACAGAGCCCATATTAGATACTTCACGTGCAGAGACCCCCAAAACATCGCTCTTCTTCTCTAAAAGAACAAAAAGAACCTGCATGCTCGTGGAGAATAAGCATGCAGCAAATTGAGCTTCCGTGCTGATGATAAAGCTAACCGATAGATCATTCATACAGACAAATAGAGGAAATTTCCACAGCGGAAAAAAGGTTTAAGTATCAGATGTAACATGCAAATTCCACTGCACCTTGTTCCAAAGGTATCTTTTCCAGTATAAGGGCATCATGGAAGAAGATGCCAAGATTTGGGTCCAACAACCATTCGATTCCATACAAAGTGAGGACCATCTTAGAGCGCACAGGCTGCAGTCTTCCGTTTATGATCATACCAAAAGATTTATAGTTGCGAAGCTCAAGCTTCCCTCGCCAAAAGAAGGGGGGAATTCTTAATAAGAGCTGCAATATCTTTGATGACTTTCACAGCGCCACAGGCTACTAAGATTATGTAAGTACTCAGCTCTAACTCGTCAAACAAGTCTTCTCGATAGATTATGGCACAAAATTAATTCAATAATTGGAGATAATTGGCTCGCACAAGAATGCATCAATCACCACTCTCGGCTGCAAATATCATTGTGGATCTGAATTCAGAGCACAGGCTGTCTGTCTAAGACTATACTGGAGTCAATCTACTTGAAGTATTCAAGACTTGATTCACCGTAGGCTCAATTAAGTTTGAACTCCTGCGTGAGGTTAGAGGAGAAAATTTTGACAGCAAGAACTACTCACTGTTGACTGTACATACAACGGCCCTATAATCTCTAAGCTGGAATAATAGTCATCAGACCAGAAACAAAATACCCCCGCCAAGGAGAGCGTATACACCAACTACCTGAAGTATTTACAGTGACACTAGGATAGATAGGTCACTTTGAGGCCGGTGTCGTCCAGTAACTTAGTTAGTTGCTCGGACTTCTTTGTCTCCAAGTACGGGAGAATCCACTTCAAAATTTCTGATTCGTTCTTTCCAAAGTCGGTGCTGTACCTGCGTCATTTACACCCAAAACGGTACTGTATCAGTGATGCGAGGGGTACGAGGTTACAACTGCAATCCGTGGGTGGAACTCAGCACCGAACCTGAAGTGAATTGTCGGAACTGGGTCTAAGACTTGCGACTGGAGACCTAAGGACGAGGGCTGGGACAGGAGACTTGTAGAAAGTATCTTACCATTTAAAAATCCTGTCAAGTGATACAGTTTTAGCTCCCAAGTCGATAGTGATCCCACCATCCGCAAAAAATTCACTGGCAGCAGATTTCAGCTCTTCATCAATCCTTCCAGCAGAGTAGCATTTGATAGCTGGAGATGACTGAGGTCCTCGAGCCAAGGCGAAATGAACGAGAGGCTCTGGCTCAGCCAACGCTACCTGCGCGCACAGTTGAAGCATTTGATTCAGTCATCAGGCGAAATCATGACTTTTAAGAAGGCAATGTGGACGTCACTTAGTAGCATGCCACAGGGTACGCATTTGGATAGATCTGAGCGCACCTTGACACGGTTATCCCGAGGACCGAAGGGCTTTGTTAGAGTATAAGGTGGCCGCTGATTTGCACGCAACAGCCCATTTTGAATAGCTGAAAGTGAGTATGCGTAGCCACCGATAAGATACTGGAAGTCCCCAAAGAACTTTCTCCTCTCCAAAGCTCCCACAGGAAAGTAACCAAGGTGTACTACAGCGTGAATAACGAGAGAGTTGTAGATGTTTATGAAAAACGCAAGCTTCTCCTCTCTTGACAACGTAAGGAGGTCAATCCGGTGGAGTTCCTCCGTAAGTTTCACATATCTGCAGTATCAAATACAAATACTTAACAGAAGGAACTGAGGCATGTCGAGGTCAACATTCTTAGACGACCCTGACAATCACACGTATGTAGACTGGCTCAAACAGCTGTCACTGATCTTTTGAGACATCTTGCGCTGTAAATCAGACACCCCACCCATGGTGATGAACAAAATTTTAATGCCTTTTGTAGTTAAGAAGTCATGATAATCTGCCCTATGTTACCCAGCAAAAGAAGAGTTTAGGTAATGCTTCTTCGGATGCTCATGTTGTATCTAGACCATATGACATAAATAGTTCACATATATTAACTACTGTACCACATAGTTTCCGATGGGATGCTATTGGGGCCTAGACCCATCTTAGCCCTTGGCTTCATCCCTGTACAAGGTTTTACAATCCTTTTTACTATATTACCAGGTGTCCTCCTCAAGTTCAGGAGTATAAATGTTAAAAGCATTTCTCTAAATGTAGCACTTCGTATGAAAATTTCTCTTCAGATCTCTGGAAAGTAATCACGAATAGGTCAGCCTTCGGGTTAGAACGAGAAAAGAAACCGATTAGCCAAGCCAAACTTACCTTCTGAACTCTTCGCTCTTGGCCAGTCTATGATGATCCACGTGTTTTCCATCATTTGATAGCTTCGATTCTAATATGGCGAGCATCAACTGCCTGAGCTTGTTCCCAACTTCAACGGCAGGTAAAGGTTCCATATCGTTGGTTGCACCGCTGAAGTTCAACAATTTGTTGCCGGTCACAGCGGGCTCATGCTCGAGAAAACGATAGAAATGGTTGCCATCTTCAAATAGATGGTCCCTGCGAAAGGAAAGCACACTAAATGCTGTAAGGACATCGATCATGGTCCTCGGACATGAAATTGAGCAGGACTAGTCAAGGTTTGCAAGTCCAAAAGAATTCACTCGCTGAGAGCGACATAATGGTCGCACGTCATGCTGATCAGGCAAACTTACTCGTTGACTGAGTGGAGAAAGTGCTTGGTCGCAAAACTTCTTGCTAGTTCGACGGCCTACATGATGAATACAAGAACTAATTAGAAAAATACGCAAGTTGTCAACACAGCCCGCAGGCCGGAAGTACCATTGGTTTTATACAACTCACCATTCGGGTAAACCTTTCTTATAGTTCCATGATGTAACTCAGTGATCTAAGATGCTGACAGTCCGATCTTATGTTTCCTTCGTGTACGTGGATGAATGTCCTAACCTACTCTGAATGCTCCTCATTATCATGGGAATCCAGATACTGATAAGCATTTAGAACCTGTGAATGATGGCAGTCATGGGTGCATTGACCCTAGGACGTAACGTAAGCACAAAATCGGTATTGAACTCGAACGTGGCATAAGGAGACACGACCCAAGACTTCTACCAGAACCACAAGGAAATCGAGGGTAGAGTTGATCAAGCTATCGTCACATTATGATCCTTACATGAAAGCCGCTGTAGCTCAAGAAGGAATCGGGATCGGGGCTGCGAGAAAGATCTACAGGGAGGAGGGAGTGAACAACCTCACAAAAGAATTCCAGGCGTGGGGCGAGGAGACACAAGAAAGGACAAAGTATGCAACTGAAAATAATTTAGACCTGAGTTGTGATATTTTTCAAGTTAGCAAATTATACAGACCTCCTCCCTCTCACAGTATTGATCCTCGACGAGAAAGTCGATGGCCTCAGAACCAACGAAACAATTGCTGTGCATTCGATACCGCAGAAATCGATCCTTGACAACAACTGCCGCTCTCAGTCTTCTCACTATCTCTGCAAGTTCGTCCAACTTTCGGTTATCTTCATCAGTAGAATCTTCACCGTATACTGGAAGCGAAGGAGCATCAGCTGGCACCTCCGTTTCGTGAACGTCTTTGATCAATTTCCCCAAATCCGCAGAATTCATAGAGTTCAATTCATCAAACCCTCCGACAAACACATTATTAAAAAATATCTGTGGTACAGATGACTTCTCTGTCCTCGCTTCCAAGTCCAGTCGCCTCTCCGGGAACGCATCAAGATTGATTTCCACATAGGGGAGCCCCCTACTTCTCAAGAAATGCTTAGCAGCCCGACAGTTCTGTGAACCTGATATGGTGTATACCGTGATTCTTCCCTTCATTTGAGGACCTGGGTCCTCGACGTGTTTAGGATCTGCGGGTTCAGGCGTGGCGACTTCCTTTTCGAGCGGATGAGATTCCACAACTTGCCCAACAATCTCGTTCTTCTTTTGAGCGAGCCATCTTGTAACTTTTTCCTTCAATTGCCTGTCCTTGTGTTCACCTTCTTTCGCAGGCAGCCCCCTGTCCCTGTGCTCCTCCTTTACGGGCTCCAGAGCAGGTTTCTCGTCTCCAGTTTCAGAGTGTTCAGCGGAATCAAAGTCATCTTTCTTTCCGGACAGTCTCCGGATGACCTTGGACATCGCACTTCCACCATCCAGAACCAGATTTTTCAGAGCGCTAGCTTGGGCAGTGGCCTTTTCGGTCCATTCATCTACAGGAAATCCCAGCCTCTTTCCAGATTCAGAAGCTGGATGGAGTTCGGCAGTGTCGCCCTCGGTGCCATCCGCATTGGCATTCTTTGGCCCTCCTTTCGACTCGACGTTAATTGTCTCAACGTGGTAGGGACCGTCCAAAAGCTCCTCGTTCAGAAAGATGGCCTTCTCCTCGGCAGTCGCGGCTCCACCTGCGACAGCAACGGGAGCATCTCCGGCAGCAGGAGCCGCGGCAGCAGGATGGCCTTCCACCGGTTGCTCATCCTTCTTTTCAACCTTCTCCAAATTTACATCCCTCGCGGCAGTGCCGTCGGGAGCGGTCTCGGCATTCATTTCGCGCTCAATTGTTGCGGTCGCATCAGCTGGCACTTCTGTGGCACTAACCATAAGTTGACACTGATGATCTAAATCCTCGACAGTCCCAAGGTTTCAAAATGTTCCCCAAAGCGATCAACCCCGCTCGTGACTCAGAAGGAGCCTACCCGAAAATCAAAGCACGAATTTCATCCCAGTCGCATCCACCTGCACCAAGATTCATACAGCACGCGACGCATTCAGTCAATCCCAAGATACCATTCCTCAAATCGCTCACTTGCCGGCCCCAGCGTCAGAAACCGTCCTGCACGTTACGCTTCACCAAAACGCACCGGACGCTTCAAACTCCGCACTCCACCGAGTCAAATGACGCAATCCGCCCGCCACTCCGCGACCAAGAACTCTTCCTCTCTTATTTCTTTTTTCCACCCTCCTGCTCCTGCTGCCACTGCCGACTCTCTACAAGCCAACGACAACTTCACGCATAGAAGAAGACGAAGCTGCAGCAGCAGCAGAAAATATGAGAAGCAGGGCAGGAAATGTGGACTCACCGGATTATCGCAGAACAACATTCGATCGATCGCGAGGTGACAGCCGGTGCACAGATCTTCGAGTCCGGAATGCGGATCTACAACGAGAACATAGATCCGATGCAATTATGATCCAGACTACGTGGGAAATTGAGCGTTTACGCGGACGCGAGCAGCAGACGGATCTCAGCAGGGTGGGCAGTGGGCAGCGAGCAGCAGCACTTCACTTCAAGCGCATCCAGCGAGACCGAGACGGACCAGAAAAGGGCCGAGGCGAGTAAAAGAAAATGCAAAAGAGATCGAAGGCGGGAACATCCCCGGGCCCAAAACTATCCTAAATAATCCTCCCGGTAAACAGATCGCCTCGCCATGGGCTGCCCTGTCAGACACCAGGCCCATCTCCGCCGTCTGTCGCGGCCCCCCAACGGCTCGATGGCGGTCCGGGCCCTTGGGTGGCACAACCTTTTACGCCCGCGCTTTACCCTCGGGGTAAAACTCACAGTTCAATACCTGGGGAACGCACGAAAAGAGTGGAAATTCAGCGCCTCGGTGGGCCTCCCTCGGCCCGTGCGCATACGTGGCAGGTGTTGCTTCGTTGGACCTGAGTACCGGAAGCCCGGACGGGTCCTGTGATTGGACCGAAGTTCCAGCACGGTTCCGGGGAATAAACTAGCGTCCGGAGAAGAGCGGGTGCGAGGCCATGCCACGTCGGACGATTCCACCTGCGTGGGTTGAGTGCCAGTCGTGGACGGAAGAGGTGATCGTGCCTTGCACGACTTCCTTCTGCGAGGCCCCGACCCCCTTCGCCCATGGGCCTTGCACTCGCATAATTGCCTTACGCCATGGGATTTTCACGTTGCGCCCCGGCCCTCTGCATGAGAATGCTTCATTCTCCCTCCCAATCTGCGCGCTGATCAAGTCACCTACCCCCACCATACTTTCGCTCTACGTGTTTCCATCGGTGCGAGTTGGGCTTTACAGAATGCCGTCCCTTCGTGCAGGCCTCAACTTGCTTCCAAATCCGACGGAATCTAATGTTTCTTAATCTTCTCATTCGCAATTTACTCTTTCTGCTTTCAGAATGTAAGTGAGGCCGGTTCTGAGTCATCTCATATCAAAAGTCGCCGAGTTGTCTCCGTGCGTGTACCGATCTGGCTGTGGACATTTCGGTGGGAGCAGCTCACTAAACGCAGGACCCTTACTCGAGAGGGTATAAATCATTGGGTTCAGATCTTGATGGAAAATCGATAGATCTAAATCGTCATAATGTGTTTGTGTGTTCTTTCTGCTGGAAACATTTGTTCTTACTTCTGTCATCATCAGGCGGTAAGTATGTCTGTCTGTCTCGCGAGCTTCAACAGGGACGACATAGGTGAAGATGAAGCTTTTGCAGAACAGTAGGGGACCGAGAGGAGCACCCTGAACACTAGTGATTGCAACTTCTGCTGCAATGTCAATCGTGTACACGGATGTGAACCGAGATCCCAAGTGCCTCGACTCCCGGAAGATATTTTGACGGTGGACTTCCTGTTGACGACGCAGATTCAGATGGCGTTGAAAGATAGAAGAGAAGTAAACGTGATCCCTACCTTACTCTCTTTTTATTAATCCAATTTGACCCCGTTAGCAGCTGTCCCACTATCACGACCCACCAAGTCATAGTTACATGAATGACCTTCCTGTAACTGAGCTAGTCCTGCTCTCTCCCCTTCCTGCGCAGAGAAGGGTTCTCCGTATCGAGTGACATCCAAGCAACCGCAAACCTTTTTCTCTTTTATATTCCCCTTGTAGAGCTCGGTCTCCAATGGCCACCGAAGTAAATTTAAAAGAGCATCAAATGCAAAGACCGGGTTTTGAATTGCGTTGCAATAATTTGACGAAGCAAGGAAGAGGAGAGTGGGATGAGCTTTTCGTTGCTACGATCCTGCGTAATGACGCAGGGTAATCGTAATCCCCGCCTGAAAAAGCAAAAGAAAGGTATAAAGTTCTGAACTACATGCGCCTCCGTTTTTCTTTGTTCCTCTTTTTTCTCCTAGATCGTCGCTTAGAAGTAGAAGTAAGTGACACACATAAACGAGGGAGATTTATTATTTTGAGACAATCCTGCTATAAGAAATGGCGCACCTGACCGGGCAGAAATTTTGAACACAAGGTAATAAGAACCACAAGATAACCACTCTCAGTCACTTCTTAGTCTCCCATGTGCAGTGCTACAAGATGGCCCATTGGTGCAAGGCAAAAAGAACTGCAAGCAAAAGCAGGAATTTGTCCGTGCAGGCTACAAAATACTCTATTATGTACTAAATAAAAAATACTCTATTAAATACTATTATCTACTAAATACTCTCAAGTTTAGACTCCATGTACCTTTTGATTGCATCCATCCAGATGTGTGATGCAGAAAATTCGCATTTTTACCGCGAATTTAGTGGAGAGTCAAGGATCAGCTCACATCCTCCAAGACGCTGTTTTCCAAACCAATCTACTGCGTAGGTGCCTCCGGCGTTCAGCCCAAGGTGGAGGGAGAGAAGATGTTGATGGGATAGTACCGCCTGTTCAAACGTCCCACAGCAACACACCAAACGCAAAGTGGTCAGTCTGGAGGTCGATCGAGCCACGGTAAGGTTTGTATGCCTCCCATAGGACGTTGATTTTGACAGCGGAGGTATGACAGGACGCCCTAGTCGAAGTGTAGGGCGAGGTGAGGAGGTGGCGAAGATGGAAGTCTATAAACATCCGAAGGATGATGCACCGACCAAAAAGTAGGATGCAGCAAAAGTACATCGCCTCGCCCTTCTGTTTAGGCCTGGTCTTCCTTCGCTCGTAGGGGAGGTCGGCACCTGACTATGGTATCGGTATGGTCGAACCGGACGTGGAAACCCGACAATCCGAAGGTGTGAATCGACCCGACTAACTTCAAACCCGGCCCAAAATAATTGGGTTATCTCCGTTGATGATTTTCTCAACATTTGCTGGCTCTTGGGAATTTCTTGCCATTTGAAATACAGACACATGAATGGCAATGTCAGCGATCAGCATCGACAACCATGTTGGATTCGGAGTTCAGAAGCCTCCCTTTTGTGGGCCTTGCTCCAGCTTGTTACATACCAAGGGTTTGGGTATTCAAATTATCATTAATCGTGAAACGAGTTCGATTTCCTATGCCAAGGAATGTTAGGAGTATAGCGAACCGTGAAGACCTCCACTTATTATTGCGGAATCTCCACATGCCGGAGGTTAGATTCCACCACGGTAGGTACCGCATTCTGTACCGATATAGAGACTTCAGTTGTAGTGACTCGTTCCCCGAAATGATGATTTCTCAGTGAACGATCAATGGGAAGTTTTAAAATTGGATTGGCAATTGGATCGATGGGAGTGACTAGCTGAAACACTTGAAATCCCTTCGAGACAGATAAATTGTGAGAAAATAATTTTGGCGATTTTTTTAATTTTGGCGGTTGAAGTACTGTGGGTAAAGTAGGCTGTCGCAAAGATTTTACCTGCACAGAGGACATTTATTTTGGTTCTGATGTACTCGAGGAAGAACATGAGTAAAGTTGAGAATAAATAGCATGTGATACAATTTTCTCCCGACTGGGTCCCAAATGAGCGAAACAATGCAGTGATAGAATGAAAGCAGCAGTACTTCAGTGCGTGCTGTTCACGTACATAGCACGCTACAGTTCGTCTAGTCGGCAATTTCTTCTACTACTAGTCCATAATTATTCACTTGAGCACTTGAACGATGATCAAGTCAAAACCAGGCAAATAGTCGCAAGGCAAGTTGCTCAATTTTAATAGTATGCCGTGTACTCTTGCGTGCATCAATGTCAAGGTGCGAATAGAAGATTTTGACTCTATCAGCACAGATGCATTTCTTGCTGTTATTTGAACCATCAAGCGAAATTATTAGCATATTGTTCATGCGGTTAGCAAGACAATTTCTTTAGATTTAGATTTTATTATCGGGTTTCGACTTCTATTTATAGATTTGAAATAGATTTTACCCAACCTCAAAAAAATATAAATATGTAATGATAATATATAAGAGTTGATTAATTGGGTATTATTGAGCTCCTTTAACCCAGTTCGAGTCATTGGACTACAATTATCATACTCTTCTAAATGTTCCCCAAACAAAACCCTCAGCGCAATCTAAGTTGGCTGCTAGTGACAGACAATGCTTTTAGTGTATTTTATAAGGCTGCGTTCGAATTTTGGATAGAAATCTAGATTTTGGTCATAAAACATGGAAAGGGTAAACTTACTTTATAAACAATCAGCACGTCTATCGTCGTAGATACCAAGTTCACCCTCACCCTATTTATGGTTGACTTCGACACAAGTGGATTCGTTGGATACAAGAATTCTAATTGAACTGGTTGTAAATAATACAATTTCTGGAGGTGTAATACAATTAGAACCTAACTTGATTGATCAAGTCATTGTACATGCTAACCAAATTCTAATGTTGAAATCTCTAAAAAAATTTGAGCACGTCTTTGAAACATGCTTTGAGAATTGAGTACTTACACCTTGTTTCAGTGATGTTCTGATGTACTTCTTCGTTGGAAATAGAAAAGAACGATGCATCTTTTTGAGGAGTATCAAGAGTGAATGTTGCTATGGAAGATCAGGAGTAAACGTTCGGAGCATACAATGTCAATAGACTCAATTTCAAACGCAGCCCAACTTCATGATATGGTTGTTCTCAATCATAAAAAACCAGATGGTTTTGGGCGATCGATTACAACTGCAATTGTGATCATGCTCAAAGGTCACTCGGCTGTGGGGCAAATTCGGGCCGGTGATGGATAAAAGTGACTTAAATAATAAATATACGAAAAGACAAATACACATATTATAGGTATCCCTTACATCCCATTGCTTTTACGTATATGAAATCAACTCTTCATGAACACGTTATCTGAGATGGATATACCAGGCTTCAATATCCGAAAGTCCAATGGCTAGGGTTCGCATTCTTTAGGAAGAATTTTTCATTTTCATCATGTGCCAAAGCGTAACGGTTTGCAGGTTGTTCATCTCAACATGAATCAATGAAGATTAATTTACTTCGAAGTTGCAATCAATTCTGGTACAGTGAGTGTGTAAAGAAGTAAAACATCGAAGAGATATTAGGTACCATGGTTTTGTAAGTATTTTAATTTGAATTCTGACTCAATGGAAGATGATTTAAAATCGGCACTTTGCACTCGAATCTGGAATCTTCAGATTCGATGTAGCTAAAAAGATAAGTGGCATTGGACTCTGAAAGTGGCAAGAGGAGGTAAAATGTATTGCTCACAGTTGAAAAATCACGCAAACATGATTATTCAGCAAAAGGGTTTGAATATCTGTTCTAAGTTAGCAAAGGAAAGGAGGAAGAATGAGTTTGGATTACCGTAAGCTGCAATTTGCAAATCGATCTCATTGCAGCAGGGTACGAAAAACGATAATCAGGGGGAAAGGATGAAATGAAGGATGTCCAAGAAGATAAGGCAAAATCATGTGGAACATGCAAGAGAAAACCAGAAGGCGACGTCGTGGAATACCAAGATCGCCTTGCTATGGTAGATTAAAGTCCGGACGGTCCGATGGTGCAATAGGTGCCCAAATCAGCGCGATGAGGACTCAAATCATATCTTCTGGATCGTCCAAAGTTGCAGTAGATATGGAGCTGGTTCATGAGCATATTCCGGTAGGCTATTTAACTTTCACAACTCTTCAGTCATCGTCAAGAAAACCATGCAACTCTTGCGGATTGGCCTTCGAGAAACTCTTCAGAGCAATCGAGAACCCCTAGACTGGAGGGAAACAAGCCGTTGCTGAGGAAAAACCGGCGCACCTGCTTGCTGGCCGTTCAAACACACGAGATACTCGAGATGAATGCCGACTCAGTTGTGATAAATTTCTGATGCTTTAGGTGATATTTGTGATTTATTGGAGGATTATCCCACACGAGTTCTGTTAGTGAGTTGGCACAGCAACAAGGTTTCTTAGAAGCCTGGTTGTGCTTGCTGGCTACGACTACTTTCGCTTCTGTTACAATCGTATGATGTGGTGGAAGCATATTTTAGAAGGCCCACAAACAAATGATGCAGAGAATGGGCCTGACCCCCCAGATATGTACATAACAGTTACCGGAAGGCCTGACAGATTTCCCCGTACACAGACGCCGGTGGCCGGTGGCCGGTGGCCCACAACGTGCTAGGCCTACCAATGTTTTCCCTCGTTCTCTCTCGGCTTACTTCAATTGAAAGTCAAACGTGTGTGTTTGAGTGTTGAGAAAAAGCGTTACCACATATTGATTTGGTAGTTCTCTCCGGGAGCCTACTCGTTTGCTTTTCTTACTGGAAATTAGATGTTATAATTTGGTTTTGACCCAAGCAACTTACATCATAAATCACAAAAATAATCTGAAGAACCCATCAAGTCCCACATTGAACAACGTTAAACTCGAGTTGAAGCTATAGGAGCTATGTGAGTCAAATTGTTGATAATTTAAAGAACCTTACTCGCAATATATTGATTCTGCATTGCAATAGCTAGTGGTAATTGGCTAGCACCGGAAACATGTTGATAGAAATAAACTATATAAAGAAGTAAAGATAGTGATAATATGGTTTGGTAAGCATTCATATACTCTCCCATTAATACATGAAATATGTATCCATAGCTCCCTGTTATTGTAAGGTGACAGCAATGAATAGTTACTTTTCATATTTTTTGGAAGATAAATCTATGATGAATTCATTCCACTCATCATGTATATAAGAGTACGCTAGTCATCATTTGAAAATCACGTCACTTGTAAGATATATAACTAAAATATTTACATTTATATTCTTGTAACAAGTTCATGTATGTAAAAACCACATCTATTGCAAGACATAGCTAGTATGTCTTGCATCTAAGGTTCTTTCATATGAGGTATTCATCCTCTTGTATCTTGGCAGACATCACGGTCTAAATAATGTCAGGCCGAGCTATCCTATGGACTACACATCACTACATATAGATGGTACATGTAAGGTTATATATTATCGCACTGAAATGTGAATGAAAGAGCTGTATATGTTCGGATTAAGCTAAAGCAAAAAGAAATCTGTAAAAATTACACTATGAAAATCATACGTGATGATGTAATATCATGCCAAGAATCATGAACATGCTTGCAATTGATAGTTGGAAATGTTAGTATATTAAAGTATAACAATAATCATTAGTTCAATCACTGGACAAACTATTCAAATAACTATCATGTTGTATCTCCGGGCTAAAGCACTTCATGATTAAAATAAATGACCATGCATCTATGTACGTTGCAAATACCTCAATAATAACGTGAAATGCATCTCTCGTGCAAAATCTCCCATCACACACTTGAAATTCTCTAATCGCCAAAAACATATACGAGACTCTCATAAAAAACCATGTAACTTTTGTAAGTGAGGTAGCAATCAGAACATAGATGGGCTACGTTATATTGGTTACATACGCCAAAAAATGGTATAAATAATTATTTATGATCGTGTAGGGATTCTTCACAATGAGAAAAACTAATCATGCATATTCTGCAACTCACCTGAAGTCGGGGGGTCGTGGGGATTTGGACACAACCAACCCAAGGGGAAAGTCGTCATTTTTGGGTGGTTAGTGGCATCAGACACCATAGGGCACAACTGTCTCGGATGTCTTGTTTGTGGTTGGACTAATGAGGTGAAAACAAGGGTAAGGTATCTTGAACTTGTGTGTCTGCTCGCAGCAGAGTCCTGGAAGATACTTTTTGGTTGTTTATGATCAGATCCTCAAAAGGCGAGTCAACGTCGAAATCTCTGCAGAAACGTACTTTTGGTGCAGCTTTACTTTCTTGACTTTGAGAATCAAAAACCGAAGTCTGGTTATCTCTTCTATCATTCCTTAACAGAAGTGCAGTCAACCATGTTCCATGTGCATACCTTCAGAGCTTACGAGCTCTCCACCGAGCACACGTCACACTGGGGGTGACAGGTATTTTCTCTTGAACAGAAGCAGTACTCGTCACATGATCTCAGGTCCAGTGATGAGTACTTGTCACATGAGAAGGAGTGATGTATAAAATTACGACTCCAGAATTCCACAAGCCCACGATATGTTCCTGGAGCTGTGAAAACTGTCAGATCGTTCGTGTAGCATTGCAGTCGCAAAGAGCAGTTGAGTCTGACGACTACGCGTCCATCTGCGATGGAGGATGTAATCTCAAAATCTCTGTTAAGAATCTCCTCCCTCGTTGAAACCGTCACCACATCTGTGCTGGCACTCGGCGTGTTGGTGTAGCTGTTTTCCAGAATCGTACTGCCGGTTCTGTGTGAGCCCATCTGGAACATCAGTACTGCGTAGGAGGAAGTTACAGCAAGGTCTTGCTATCGCTTTGTTCAAGCTTTTCGTTTGCAGGATACTAATATTCACGGTTTTAGCAACCTCTTCCCCATGATCTCCTGATAGCAGCCAATGCACTTTTCCTAAGATTCTCAAGTTGCGCTGCAAGTTTAGCTCGTTAAGATTTGCGGAGTTGCGGGAATTTCTCAAAAATTTGGACGGAATGTTGCACTTCTTGCTGAAAATCGAGTTGATGACAGAGTAGACAGCTCGTTTAGTTTTGAGAAGCTGAATATCCGCCCCCAATTCCCGAGTCCACAGAAACGGTATAGTCATTTTTAGATTGCATCCGGGCTCCTTCGAACCACGCGCCAAACCGTAATATCTCTCGAGGTATTCAAGAGAGTGCAGCGAACTGAGGAAATTGACGCGTGCGATCGTATTTCTACTGATAAAGTTCCACAAAAGAATAGATTGATGTTCTGTACCGGCCTGTTTTCGGCGGAAGTCAACCTAAGCGGGTGGAGTCGATTTAATGTACGACTCGAATCACTGCGCAAGGTTTAGGCGTACGCTACTTATGATATGCTCGAGCGAAGATTTCATTGTGGCATTGAAGGAGGCCGAGTAGTAGTCAAACATGGCTTCGGTAGAATCAACGACCAGTATTCACGAGGAATTTGCAGCCGATGACATCACGCGGAGTCCGCTTATCGTAACGCGAAAGTCGTATTCAGTGCGCCAGAGTTGACACGACCACTACCTCGAAACGCCACCCATCCAGCGCGACCGTGATCGCGCGCGGACTCGTATGATGTTAAACGCGGAATGTCGTCCGTGTCGAGATCTCTCACCTGCCAAACCAAGCGCTTGGAAAACGTAGCTACCAGCTATGCGAGCGAGCGAGCGAGCTGAAGGGAGCAAGCTTTCAACTGCGAGAATCAGATCGGCACGATTGATTCCCGACACCTCGCAAGCGCAATCTGACAAATTTGCCAACAGAGCCGTAGCACCTACATGCTAGTCCTGCATTGATCGCGAGCATTGAGCCGAGCGGCTCTCCATCTCTCTCGAACTCCGTGCGCCTCTACTCGCTTCTCCTCCTCGTGTCTTCGCATTCCCTCCGTTGTCCGGAACCTTCATTCACTCCATGTACACGAAAATCGAACGAGCTGCTCCAAAATCAATGCGCGAGTCCCGACAAAGTCGCAACTCGAGCTCCTTTGGCGGCGCTGGTTGCCTCGTGGCAAGCCGAAAGGAGCCGTTTCGGGGAATGAACGCCGCTGGCTGCCCTAGTGACGTGGCGGTGACAGAGGCTTGGAGGATCTTCGAGGAATGGGGATTTCCGAGTAAGATCGGCAGGAGAATGGGCAGCAGGAGTTGAAGCTCTGGACTCGATTTGGCTGGGCAGGGCAAAGAGGAGGGCGGAGACGAGACGAGACGAGACTCTGGGACTGTGATCTTCGTCGAGTGAATTCTACGCGTCGGCATGTGCGGGCGGGCGAGGTGTACAATTCGGGTGGACGATGTGGGACGTGCGACTGGGCACCGGAGGCCATTACGCTCCGTGGACAGTGACAGGTTTGTACGTCTTTTGGAACTCGGGAAAGTGAAGAATGTGGAGGCACTTGATTCTCTTTTTCCGGAAGCCATGAAGTGTGCTGCGCTGAATTGAACTCTACTGCCGTGAAAATTGGCGATGAATCGCGATTTCGTCCGTTCCTGTGCGAGCGATGTCCATAGATTATGTCCACAGCGGGGCTACGAATCTGGGAACTGCAAGTGGTTGCAGCTCAATCGTCTGGTCCTGCCCTTCACATTCGACGAAAGGAAGCACAGTGAATGGTTCACTGCTTCTTTTCCTCCAATATGTCCATTGAGCAATTGGGTTTTTTCTTGTCGAGCATAGATGAACTCCCGTATTGTACCTTGTGTAGATATCGCCCTTCTTACAATGTAGCCCCGGGTCGTTATATGCCAGTTGTGCGTTCAGTGCAAGCTGGGGAGGCCACGGAGCAATGTTCGACCGAGCCTGTCGTGCACTGCATGAAGTGGGGCTTGATTCCAAGTTTTACCAAAAAAACCGAGAAGCCTGACCATTTTCGCATGGTAATCTAACAACTGCTAGAACAGCACATAACTTGCAATTTCCGTTGGTGATTATCGTGCCGTATGCAAAGATTCTTCCCATTGTCATACTTCTTTCTATCTGTAAGCCCCACAGGCTCCTATAAGTGCTAAGTCTGTGACCGCCCTTGTCTTTATCCTATGCAGCGACCAGTTTGAAACGTTACTAGTCAAAGAAGCCGACTGAAAAATTGTTTCCATGCTCAATGGGCAGTTCAATGCACGCTCGGAATCAGTGCATCTCAAATCATCGTTCAGCAGACTTCTAAAGAAAAGTCGTTGCGTCACAGCAGTAGAAGGGTATGAATTTCTCCTCCTTGTATGAAATTTGGGCCGGAATTGGGCCTGGAAGAGTCTCTTATGTGCGAAACGTTTGTCTTCCCGCATTGTCCCAGAACTTTGAAGTTAGCACTGCTTTGAAAATTGACCGAATGATGGCATGGAGAGGACTAGTATGGTTAGCAGCATTTGTCCGCAGATCTTTCTTCGAAGCAATTCCTGTAACCAAGTTTGGCGATGCTGATCTGGAAAGATCTGAACAATATTTCCTTCTAGATGACAATGTCCTGAAGAGCAAACTTCATACGTATCTTTTGTCTGAAGATTTTACGAGTGGAAGAAAGATGGGTCCAAGAAGCAGCCTTATTATCTGCATTTCGAGGACGAACGGCCTCTTGTATTTGCTGCTCTTTACGACAGTTGGAAAGATGAAGAAGGTATGTGGTCAACGGTGATTGCACTTGCGCAGGACTGACAAATTTGCGGGACGGAAGAGATGAACCATAATCAAAGAGTTCCCAGTCTGATATGTGGATGTTGCAGGCAATGTTCACCATACATTCACAATCCTGACGACTCGCGTTTCGAAGGCACTTGGTTGGCTCCATGGTGAGCCTTCTGTTCGCATCTATCACGGCAATTTCTTGCTTCTTTCGCCAACGTCTTTGTCATCATTGTGTTCATCGCGTTATCGAACTCCAATATATACATACACACATATACTAAGTATGTATTATGCATTAGTAAATACTAAATACCCGGGAAGCTAAAGCCATTGAAGCTCTTGCAGAGCTTGAAGCGCGGCATCGTCAGATGCAGCAACACTATCTTTGCTAACTTCATAGCACATGCAGATAGGATGCCGGTCATTCTTCCGAACGAGGAAGCTGTTATGTCATGGTTGAATGACGATTTGTCAGAAGCCTCTCTTCACAAGCTTACACAACCATACGAAGCTTCAGACCTGGTAAAGTAGTTTGTCATCGGTAACCTTCTCTCGAATATGTGATGTGTACTCTATGTCTAAAATTATTGCTGTGTGCAAACATTGTTGTAGTTGGTATCATGCGGAGAGCTGTATTCTTCAAAATTCATGTTCTGTCGATGCTAGTTTGAAAGAGAGGGCTTCCGGGCGGTTTGGAAGTAAACAAAGTGGACGGTTGTAATGTAGGTTTGGTATCCAGTAACTCCTGAAATGGGCAAGCCATCGTTCGATGTTCCTGAATGTGTACAGGAGGTAGGACTTTATCTGTTCCATGACGTACAGTCGCAATGGAGCTGGTTTTACTGAATCTTCCACGCTTTCCTGTCGCAACGTTCATCCTAAAAGTCGGCAAGATTTGTTGCGCAAGTAGCTTCAAGATTCCTCAAATGGGAGATAAGAATTGTTTTTTATTGTGTGTACCCATTGTGCTCAAACTTCATTTTTGATAATGCTAGGTCAAACTCAAAGTAGCAAAAGAAAGCTCTATATTTCAACTCTTTGCAAAGAGAAAGAATATGGAAAGCTCGAGCCAGGATGACAGTCGGTCGGCTAGCCAAGTCCCCGACACGACGAAGCACCAGTCTTCAGAAGACGGATTTCCTGCCTCACAGGTGAAGGATGAGGATGTGGAGATTGAAGGGGATAGAAAAGTTCTTAAAGAAGAAGTGGGTAAAGGCGACGTTGCAGCTAAAGAAGAGATTCATGGAGAGAAAGATCATGACAATGGCCACGAGGAAGGTGTTGTAGTGAAAGATGAATCTAATGAAAGCGAATTTGTAGTGAACGAGAAGGATCATGACGATAGCCACGAGGAAGGTGTTGTAGTGAAAAATGAACCTCCTGAAAGCGAAATTGTAGTGAACGAGAAGGATCATGACGTTAGCCACGAGGAAGGTGTTTTAGTGAAAGATGAACCTCATGAAAGCGAATCTGCTTACGAGAAGGATCATGACGATAGCCACGAGGAAGGTGTTGTACTGAAAGATGAACATCCTGAAAGCGATTTTGTAGTGAAGGAGGAAGTTTATGACAATGACCACGAGGATCAAAAGCAGGTACTTTCTTACGTGAAGTCAAGGACAGGTTATGAACCGGAGGCAAAGAGAAGGCATGTAGCATTGCCTCAAAAGGTTACAAAGAAACCTGCTGTCAAAGCAGTCAAGGAGGCGTTATCGGATAAGCAGACATCTTTGCATTCGTATTTTGCAAAGAAGTGAATATTGAAGGGGTTTCACAGCTTTGAATTTTGAAAGGGAGAATGTATTTCAGGTCTGACATGTATACTATGAATAGTAGCGACTGCGCAAGGACACGCTGCCGTGATAATAGTACTGCAGTGTGTGAAAGTGAGTGTCTTTCTGGATAATGCCAGTTGTAAATGAGAAGCATTCCAATCAAACTTTGTACATGAAGTTTATACAGACGAAAAATATGTGATTTTTTACATTCAGCTTGCAACAAATTAGCTACACACATTACTTATGACGTTTGAAAAACATACAACATCTTCTACAGGACGAAATAGATAGTTCTTGAGGATTTAAATACGAACTGTGACATGCTGTCTAGATAACAAACCATCGAGGAGACAAACTGCCTGCCTCGAAAGGAAAGAAGGCAGAAAATGAAACCTTCATCAAGGTTATCACCGGAAAAAGTCCCAGTGTGTGTGTTATCTGTAGTGTGTCTCCATTGAGGTTAACTGTAGTGTTGGTGGAAGATTGTACAAATAATCATTCGATAATGTCAACCATGGGGTAAATTTTGAGATGAGCTACAACTCAAACTTGTCTTTAAGCCAAACTAGCTGCCGATTTGACAATGTACATTCACGGTTAAGAACCAAACAAACAAAAGTCGTTGATCCATGGTAAGTAACTTCCGAAACTACTTCTAAAAGTTCTCATTAAAATACAAGGATGAACAGCTGTCAAAAACGACAGTTCAATAATGACCACTAACAATTACAAGGAGATTAAAGCCTTTGAATACTTCTACGACTCTTAATCTTCTAGCAATGCTGTTGTTCCGGAATGGTTCCGCGGTATTCCATCAGTCTGTATATGCAGCCAACCCAATTCGAGTTAGACCAAATAAGCACTTTAGCTAGCTACGTCAGCTAGCTGCACAAGTCCTCATGAAGAGCACAGAGAACCTAACTAAACCCAACCTGAAGCCCACATGAGAACCTAAACTGCCGAGCACAGAAACAGGTGAATGAGACCCTGGGGTCAAAGACGATCCGTTCATTGTGCGAAAGACCTCTCTACTCTACGTGGAGCGGTCCATAGCTAATACTCAAAACTGCTATAATGGGACTCTCTCCCGCTCATGGGGCTTCTAGCTCAGCTCCAAATTGCTCTAATCGAGCCTCATCTTCTGCTGCATCTCTCACTGCAGCGTAGTTTACAAGTCCATTATCCTCAAAAGCAGCCAGTTGCCTTCCACCAAACCTGCAGGATGACGTCAAGCGCTTACCAGTTTTAAGTCCCATAAGCTTCAGTATGCCATTCGTGCCAATGACTATGATTGGGATGAAAGCCTTCCAAATGTATCCAGAAAGCATACTTAAAAGTAAAAGTTCTTAAGAAATGGGAACTTGCGAGGATGCTTTGAGTAAAAGAAGAAAGAGAAAGTTACCATCTTCCATTCATAACCTGAATACATTTCAAACCGTGAGCTCTATCCTTAAATTTCACCATTACCACACCTTCGGGATGATTTTCGTAAACCTGAACGTGTTCACAAGCGACGTCAGTTCGAAATTGGATAATGATGAAACATAAACGGAAGTAGCTGTGAACAGTTAGTTTCGTTATGGCTCACAATTTAGCACAAAATTACACCATCGTTGAATTTCCAAATATGAAGACAAACAGAAGTTGCTTTGTACCCTCAGTCTCTCTATCGGACCAATTTTGGTACATTCCTCTGCTACATCGGACTCAAGTTCTGGTAATACACTTGGATCAGACTGCACAGCGACAAACACGATTGATTTGAATCAAAGCTCCATACTAAATCAACATTAAGGAACAGACATGAATCTCAACACAAGGAACATCGTAACAATGGGATCAAAACGTCTAGTTAAAATATGTTCGCAAATTATTCGATATCGATAATTCTCTGGACTCCACACTATGACCTAGCTAGCAATATGCAGTATAATTGTAATTTTGTCCATTTCGTAGATGCAATAGTAACGGACCAGAAGCTCCTCCCGCGTAAACATATGCTTGAAAATTACTGAAATTGCCTCCGTCTTCTTAACGTCATCGAACCCACCTATAGCAGAAGCGAAACAGTCAATCTCTTAAACCAATGCACTGATATTGCTTGAAGGTAGAGTACAGCTTCTTCCACAATAATGACAGCTGACGGGATGAGAATTTGCTGTCAACGTGAAAAGAAGTCTAGTCCTTTTGAATGATGATCTAAGCGTGAACCTTCGTTTGTCCGGATATTCTGATCAACCTCAAAATAAACCTACCCCATCCAAGAGCTCTCTGCTCAAGGCGCTGAAGCTTTTGTTTCTTCTTCTTATTTTGTTGCTTCTTCATGAACACTTCACCTGTCCACATAGAGGAGATATAGACCATGGCATACCACCCATTATTTCAACACATAAGTTCCTGCTTGATGTTATAAGACTATACCAGGCAAATAAGTGATTAACAAAAGACGTCTTTTGCTTCACAGAAAAAGAGCTGTGAATAGGGATAAATGAGGATTGTGAATAGTTCACAACCCTTTGAGAAACTTTGATGTTGAACCACCATACGATAGATAAGGCTTCTCTTGAATTTCGACTTGTGGAAAACTATTTACCTTTCTGTTCGAACTTGGCGACAGTAACTGTCATATTGGTGGCTCCACTAGGTCTTAAGGGCGTACCATCCAAAATCTTGATTGCGAGGTCCACAGATGGTTCCTAAATCACAGCATTCAAAAAGTCAAGTTTTTAAGCTACTCATCTAAACGCGTAAACTTCCGCAAGGCAGAAGAAAATAAACATCCCATGTACTCCTCCTCGTGTAAGCGAAGCAGATGAGACTTGCATGTAGATATCCAACGTTTCTTAGACATGAGCTTTATCTCAAGAAACCATCTCAGCAGCATTCAGAGGGTTCTAATTTGGATTCAAAAAGTAAAGTATAACCTTCAAAAACGTTATAAGACCGTCTCCTTTTTGCAAGCCTGTTGTCTTATCAACGTATAGCTTGACTCGAGGTTTTCTGGTGTCAGGATCCTGAAAATTACACTTCCAGCATCAGCTTCAGATCTGGAGTAAAAAGGGATGAATTCTTTGATTTTTTTCACGAGCCACACAAAGAGAACTAGGTCAACTGTTATTGATCTAAAGATAGAATCAGAACCAAATACACTGTAAACCCTTTGAACCGTAGGTGTTTTCAGACATGGAGAACAACAAAGATCTGAAGAAATAAAAACGACTTCATACATGATTAAAACCCAAATCGAGATAAAACATACAAACACAGTTAGAGAGACCACCTTCGTCTCTCTCCAGCATCAAGAATAAGTCTCAGAAGTTCCGCGTAGAGCAAATATCCTTGGAAGTGATCGGATCTTTACTGAAGGGTCTCCCCTTTCCAGTCAGAAACCTTGTCTATAGAAAAACCTTCATGGACGGGTACCTCCTGACAAATACTGTTCCACGTTCTTACGCAAAATGTAGGCGGTGCTCGTCATGATCTAACCTTAATGTAATTTGAGAATGGACCTGATCCAACGCGAAGGTGGCCAGAAAAGTACAGGTGTGGACAATAAGATGGAAGTCGGTAGTCCTTGCAAGGTATATCAGTTGTAAGTATTTGGTTGCTACACCTCTAGTTAAAACTCTATCATGAAACTACTTCATCTCTATTGACTTTAAATTAAGGTTTCAGCCATAAGGAATTAAGTTAATAACCTACCACTCTCTGGTGATATTGAAGTTTCTTGAGAAGGCTTCATGCAACAAAGTTGCTGTACTTCACACGGTTTGAAGATGACCTCTCTTTGCTCTAAGGATAAATACCTAAATCCTAAATAAGTTGGTTGGCAGCAAAAATTTTACTTTCTATTTTTCCTTCAAATGGCATAAGAGGTCACCCTTTTTGGCTGCATCATTTTCACCCTCGAACTTCTTCTTGTGGAGGATTAGTCTCCCAATCCGAGTATATCCTCCAGGAAGATTGAATAAGATGAATGTAATAACTGACCTCCACTTCGTGAAATAGGCCACAAGGACTTTACATGGACTATTCTCGAGCATACTTGTCAAGGAGAATTAGAATGAAAATGAGTTCAGTATTTCAGGAACATTGACAAACATGTTTCACTCACCAAAAGGACTCCTTTGAACTATTTCACGTACTTCCAGTCAAAACAGCAAGTACTTCCAGTCCAAACAATTTTCTCAACTGAATAGTGAGATAAAATCTGATGAGCTATGATAGTGTGACGGATGGTAAATTACAACTGCTGAAGTTTTCAATTACTTTAGACATATGGTTAGTGTTCATCATTAATCGCCAGGAGGAAGATATCGATCACATAGTTCTCCACATCTAAGGAGGTAACACCAACTATCCAGCCATCTTAAACTCGGTATGGTATCTCTATTTACTGCTGACAATTTTATTCCACTCTTTAGAAACTACTTGTTATCTGATGAGAAGTTCATTTCATCCATATCCCCCTTAGACTTACTGCATATTACGAAAAAGCTATGATAAGTATTTCATTTCATTATGAAGAATGACAGCAAATATGCCCGACTTTTTGGTAAATACCGTACTCTTGAGTGTTGATATAACTGCTGTTCCAACCGGCAAATTAGTTCGTTTTATTGTTACCTTTACAATTCACATTCCACTGACTCCAGATTGATGTCTTCTATTGTCAAATATCCACTTGATAGTACTAGCTTAAGGGTGGCAGGGTCACGTTTTACAAGTACTTCTCTCTTTATCATTAACTCCACACCACGAATTATTGTGACCTTATAATTTCTGCTTTCAGACTATAACCGATGCCCGCACCACACACTCGGGCAACACGTGACAATACAGGAGCAAAAAGAGCAGCTCAAGATCTCTGATCACTTCGCAAAGCCACATCCTTCTTACCTCCTTAATAACTCCACACTTCGAGAAAACCTTCACGACCTGCACCATTTGCAAATTAAAATTACAGAACCTGAAATACGATAGTAACATCAATATTACTAACACAATCTCTAACGCTAGTTTCACATAGACATCAATCATCGAGAGGATCTGATGGAGCTCATCAAGTCAGAAGACTTCGGAACTTTCCCCTCCGACCGACACAAAGGCTTCAGGTAAGTGTAAGAATGCTCAATTTGAGTTCAACGAGTAGTTGGTCAAAGAAATAGGTTTCAGAAAAGTCCTACTTCCTCCATAGTGGCATCTTCAGGTAACCCTGTCACATAAATATGGGTGTTGACTTTGAGTTCAAACCAAGCCTCGGGTTCCTTTTGTGCCTCCTACATTCCAAATTGCAAGACTTGATCAGCTCCAAATTACATAGCAAACGAAAACATGTGAACTGAACTTCAAACTTATGGATATTCAATCACACAGAGTGAACAAGCATAGAAGATTCAAACTTTAATGTTCTTTCGTAAATACTATAAACCTAATTTTCTCACCTTCTTGCCACCCGCTGCTTCCACCTCTTCTTTACTGCGTTTCTTCCCAGTCTTCGGGTCTTCAATCTCAGACTCAGGCGCAGTTATCTCTTCTTCTTCTTTGTGGGCAGCTATTGCTGCTTGCAAGGAGGGTATAACTTCATCCTCTTGAACAAAAGTCATCTCATCGGCTCCATAAGCCAGCCCTCCAGTTAAGGCTTGGCCCTGATATTTTAGCGAGAGAGTACAGTAGTCAGCTCTGATATCTGGGTTGATTGGTTCAGAAATCCAATTTAGACTAGAACTCCCAACCAAGTCAAGTGAAGTATCACTACCATCCATAATAACTTACTTGAGGAACCCATGCCCTCAGCTTCTTGTCCCAATTATACACTGTGCCATCATCATCCGTGAATTCTTCTTCACCCTCCGGTGGTGTCTGAGGCCTTTCCTCGTCGGCAACAACATCTACTTTCTTGCCATGAACAGTCCTGTCTTCTTCTGCTTTCTTCCCTTTCCCTGACTTTAGTGCTTCTGCTTCCTCTTCTGCTTTCCTGATTTCTTCCTGCCATCTCTTATAATCATCATCCTCATCTCCAGAAGCTTTCACTGGAGCTGCTTCTACTGATATAATTCGAGGAGCTGAAGTAATTTGACTTCCAGTTCTAGCCCCACTATATCTAGGTTCAGAAACCTCAGCAACTTGTGCAGTCGATGAACAGAGCTCAGGAATTGAAGAAAGTGGAATCCAATCACCTCTTCCCTCTTTCCAAATAAGAGTTTCCAGTGTCAAATAACCTGAATTGTAATGCTCTGAACAAAAAGATGAATGATAGAGCCATCAGAATCTCAAAGCATGATCAGAGGCGTAAAGATCACATTTAACAATTTGCCAGACCCACTAAAACTCGCGGATTGCTTGGCCCGGCGGAGAGCTCCATGGGAACAATTAAAATTGACAAATAGCTCAACACAGGAAGCCCACCTTGAACTTGGCCAGACGAATAAGGGCCCTGATAATTTTGCGTTTCATCCAAAATATACCATCCCGTATCGGAACCACTTTCCCCTGAAGAAACACCTGCTTGATGATCACCCCCACCTACAAACACAAAGACCAAAACACCATCAAATACTTTGACACATTCCGCCGCAACGCCAAAAACACGTTAAGTGACACTCTCGAAATGTCGACGTCAGAATCTCCCACTCCCTCCGCAATTGGAAGAAATGAAGCGCACACAATACATACCGTTGTCCATCGATGGGCCTGGCCTGGCCTCTCGCCGACACCACTTCCTCTCTCCTTCTTGGGCTCCTCCTCGCGCCCCACACACCACTCCCAACCTCAATTGCGTTCAATTTGAACTCCGGCTTGAAAATTGGCTCGCCGAGGCTGTCTGCACAGTTGATGGTGCTCCAGAGTGGCCCTCAAACGACGACACCGAAAAATGTCCGAGTTCGCGTTATTTCCTCCGCTACGACAAACTCTCCGTTTTCGCTCGCCGGCTTCCTTCCATTTTAGTCCCGGCTACATTCCTGGTCTCGGTAGTTTCCCCTTCAGGAAGCCTAAAGACCTCTCGAAATGGAGGAACTCTATCCGAAACTAATTTCTTTTCGAACCTAACCCTAAGTTAACACATCGTCCTTGTCCACGTAGGCCGAACTCGCCACGTGTCCACAGTCTGTATGCCATACGAGACAGTCGACTCCTCGGGTCGAGTAAAGTTTGAAAAGCCAACTGTGCAGCCTGTTGGTGCCCAAGGGACCACGATGACATGTCTCCGAACTCTCCCCCAAGACTGGCCCCGGGGCCTGAGACCGAATGAGCTGATTCAGATGGAGAAAACTGCAAACGGATGACGAAGATGTAGAACCTCCAGCCAGGGGCAGTCGGAGAAACTCCGTGGCAAATTCTTCGGCAGTATGTTGATTTAGACGCGATTCCGAAGCGTGCACATCTGAAGTATGCTCTCGGATAGGACTATCGGTCGAATCGTAGTCTACTGTAACCTTATGATCCGAGATGAGTTCGTCAGAGCTTTCTTGCTACATTTCTCGGTACCCCTTGGACCATATGAACAAACAGCTCATTAGCTGCTTGACTGAGAAGACTACTTCTCGTTCAACTTCTTGGTGGGATTGGCAGTACAGTTCCTCGACGAACACTACTCCGCATTACTATCGATTAGAGTGGAAATTTCTGTAACTGGGTTCCATTCTGTGAGTTGATCCCAAATTCCTATGATTGCCCAAGCCATAATACTGGATCAGGCTTTCGCCGATTGTCCAAGATTCCCCATATATTGATTTTACAATTTTATTCAGATTTTGATATAAATAGAATATATATTTCAATATAAAGCAAACCTAAAATTATTGATGCTAATCGAATAATTTTTATAAAAAACAATCATCAATTTATTATTTATAGAGAGTTCTGCAAATAAAACTAAATTGATTTTTTCAACTTAAAATTATTATTAGAACAATAATATGATTTAAATAATATGAACAACTCTATCTCAATATTCTATGTGTTGTGTGTCCAACATATTTGAATAAAAACTTAGTTAAATATTATGGTAAAATACTCTCAAGGTAAAACAAGTCAAATGTCAAGATATTCTAGTTTTCTATCCATATATGATCATAAACAAATATGTTTAACAAAAACACATGACCGGGCATGGTTATATTAGTTGGTCGCTAAATTAACTTAATTTAGTTGCATCAAAAATGTTAAATTACGCGGTTTTGTGTTAAAGAACTCCTTGACAGCTAGTGAGTGATTCGGAGGTAGAGAGAAAGTCAATCATCATCACACCAGGATTGCAATGAGTCTTGTGTGAAAAATAATTAATTTACAAACTTCAAATTTTGATATCGATGAACTATGAGATTAACATGATAACAAATGATCAAAGATCAACATAACTAAATCTATGATATATACCACGCTCCAAATCTGAACCAGTTACGGTCTAGATGCTCCGATAATTTTATATGCTAGAGTGAACATCAATTTAGTTAATTTAGGCGCTCGATACATGATACTCAAACAACCATGTTTGAAAATAACATAGTAACACAAATACTAGGAATTTTCATACCATTAAATATTTTTCAATATATTTATACCAAAAAATTAAAAGAAATACAAACAAAATCAATACATTAATATTACCATGATAGATTTTCATCTTTTATTCGAAATGATTCTTCTGAGAATATCAAAATATATGCTATGTACTCATCTGTATACTAAAAATATCAACAATAGCTTTTCATTCTCTGCTATATATCAGATCTTTTGCATTTTGTTTCAATTGAAAGTGGTTATATGTAGTTTTTAATATTAAAACAAACCTATTGAGAAAAAATCATTATATGTGCTACCAAGAAATGTTTGAGTTCAATTTTGTGAAAAAAATCATCATTATAGATGTAAATAAAACTATAAAAAGTGTACAATATTGATCATTCAAAAAGATTTTACCTTTAAAAAACCCAATAAGAAATCTTATATAATATTTTTAAATAAAATAAATTATTGAAAAAAATAGTATGACATTTTGTGGAACATTAAACTATTTAAAAAAATAGAAGTACTAAGTACATCATTCTGATTAATGAAACTTAAAGTTGTAACCATGCCATATGTTTCTTACATTTTTATCTATGACAATGATTCATTATAAATTTGATAGAATACTATCTTCATAAACATGTTCATCTATATTGACTAATATATAGAGATTTAGGAGCTAATATTCTTCTTATATAGCCATAATGATGCAAAAGTGATAAGAATTTTAATTATTTTGCAGAAAACATTTTATTGTTAATAAGTGAAAAAAAGTAGTGAACTCTAAAAAGTTGAAAATTTCAAATGATGAAAAAAAACATGCAAGATTTCTTCCTTGGGTTTAGTTGCTATATATGTATGTATATATATATATATATAGCAACATATTATTTGGATATTGATAACTATTTATGTGTAAAAAGTAAATTTATCGTAGATTTGAAAGATAAAATCAACTTTGGCAAGTTGTTCTACATCAACTTTTTTCTCTATACGTTTTATTTTAATATATTTTGTAGATCTTATACATGATCAATACATTTTTCTTAAGTTTCAATTTATTTAAAATGTGTATGTTCTAAAAAATAGTAGATAAATATTAAGAAAATTAAGAATAAAATGTGGCAAAATAATGATTATTACAGATTTTCTATCTGAATCAAAAAATTAATGATTACTAATGGAATATTATTGATTTGAACATTTGAGATATATGTAAGTTTCTTAATGTGAGAATTTATGGCTTATGGATTGTTTTGTCTTACGCATCTTGTAATGATCATTTCCATAATTACTTGGTGATTTCCACCAAATTTCTTGTTAAAGTTTTGAAAGCTAATGTAAATCAGGTCTTTAGTTCAATAATCTGTTTATACTTAATAATACAAGAATGTGTTTGGTATTGTAACGTCAAAACACACAATTGATAGAAAACACAAAATATGTTGTGGTTCATCCCTTTGAAGAGCTACGAGAACACGCAGCACTTTACTTCATATTTCTCACACAAGACGTCTTTTTGTACATGTGAAGTCAAGATATTTATCCCCAATCCAAACTACCGTCCTAGTTTTATTTAGCTAGTATCCGAGATTATCCTTAATTGGAGTTAACCTTAACAATTTTCCCTTTAACTCTCATTAAGGAATCAGTAAACTCTTTGACTTATATTATTACTCCTCAAGAAGTTCTAGACGGAAACTTAACACAATGTTTCTCTTTAAACAAGAGTTAACTAGAACTAAGTTGTAGCTATAACATTGTAGAGTAAAAACATACAAAGGTAACTAAAAATCTCCATGTACTCCCCATGCAAACCTGCATAGTAGCCTAGTGTCACATGAATTTCTTCAAAGTATTAACTTTGGTCAACACATCACTTGGATTGAGTTTACTGTCAATCTTGACTAGCTCAATCATCAAAGTTTATTGTCAATGTTGATTTCATTTATCCTACTCAATCACTTGCTTAAAAACTCCACAGTACCGGTTATCTTTCTTGATCATTAATCACATAATGATCAAAGTGTTTTACACCTATAGTGAGCACAAATTTTCAGCTGTTAGTTCGGAGATCCTGAAAACTCTACTTTTACTTTCAATGAATGGGACTCATTGAAAGACATACACATGTTGACAAAAACCTTAAAATTTACGTTGCCCACGGCTTATTGTGGCTTATCAATTATAACGTCAAATCACACAAGTGATAGGAGACACTGAAGACACAAAAAGTAACGTGGTTTTTCCCCTCAAGGGGGCTACGTTCACCGAGAACACGCAACACTTTACTTCAGGTTTCTCACACAATACGTCTCTTTGTATATGTAAAGATATCTATCTCCAATCTAAGTGATTGTTCTAGCTATATTTATCTAGGACCCGAGGTTACTCCTTAACTTGAGTTAATCTCAACAGGTATTTTTCATTTTTATTTAGGAATAAAAAATGAATGTAGAAGTATTTTAATACATAATGTTCTTAATTTTTGTGATCATAGTGAATATGAAATTTTTAATTAAATTCAAAACTTTAAAATTATCATTTTAAAATTAAAATTATTCCATTTTGTGCATCGCACACATTTATGAGTTTTTTTTTTGAGATTTTGATCATATCGGTTAAACATCACAGTTATCATATAAAATTTGCTGTTTTTGAAATATCGATATCTTTGTATATATGTTTCTATGTTTTTTCTTATTTTATTGATTTTTTTTATCTCAAGCATTGAATAACGTAGAGTAAAAGCTTATTGTTTTCTCTGATTTCTTTAAGGAAAATTATATTTGGTTCAATATTCAATCATTTTAGTTGAAATGAAATATGTTCCTTTGGTTGGAACTTTTTTGTATCTTACAGAATTTCAAATACATGTTTCAGTATAACCTCAATTATATTTTGAAAGTTATGTTTGACTCCTACTTTACAGTGGAGTATGTCTGCTATTTTATATTTTCTTATTCATATCTTCTTCAACATATTGAAATGTTTTGGAAATAGGTTTGTTCACATACATTATAGAGAAGATAGTAGTAGTATTTTATTCTCTCTATTTTATTTCAAGTCATATCTAACTCAGTTTAAGCTTTGTGTATCTTCTATAATGAAATGATTTTGCTGGAATCTTTGGTTTTTTTATTGCTTTATTTACCATCGTAACATTTAAAATCTGTGAGTCCAATCCTTTTTTCGCTTTCCGATTCAGCGCTTTATTTTACGTAATGGTCTATAGGGATGAAGCTCTAGGATTACATGTAGAAAAATGGATTCCTTTTCATAAAAAAAAGAAAAGCATTGATGGAAGCATAAATTTAAATCATACTTTTTGACAGGTAAAGTTCGATCATTTTTCATTTTTTGCTTTTACTTTTGAACGTTCGGTGTACCGAATGCGCAACACAAATTACTTCTTGCTGTCGTACAGTACGTTTTTCCCAAGGGTCGACAACCCAGTTTAATTTCTTTGTATTTTACATGAATATCCTGGACTGCCACAGAATACATATCTTTTGGAAAAAGTGAAATTTACATGACACAGATTCTTACATGTTTCTCAATTTGAACAGGAGAATCTTTTGGGCCTTAGATGTTAAAACTATTCATTTCCTATTTTTATATTCCCTAACAATATTCTTTCTTGATTTATCTTTCATATCTTCTGGCACACACTTGAAGGTATGCGGATTGTTTTTTACACTAAGTGTGACGTCAAATCAGTACTTATATTTGTCTCGACATTTTGACCTTCAAAAGAGTGAAATCGAGATCTTTAACCGTCGCATTAGCGGAGATAATACAATTACTTCATACTTTTAAAAATGAGTTTTTCATTAATGTGGGCTCACATTCGTAAGTAAGAATAAAAAACACTGTTCGTTACATTTGTGAATAATCGATTCAGAAATCTTCTAGACTTCACTCACAATATCGTTACCTTTCAACGTATTAGTGTGATTTACATGAACATTTACATGATGATACTTTACTTTCAGTCGCATGATACAAGCCTCTGGACGAGACAAACTGTAGATAATTTCCAGACGGCTTGACATGTTGTTAGTTTAACTTTGCTTGATTCTTTGTGGATGAATGATATCATCGTTCGACATGGAAAAAAGGGTGATCCATTTGACCTAGCTCTCTCGAAATTTAAAGTTCTGGCAGTAAAGGAAGAAATGTCCGTGATGATGTGGACCCGTATTGACTTAAAAATGTATATCTTATGCACATAGTTTTTACCCAGTATTCAAGTATTACGACGACAACCTAGGAAAGTGCACACTGTGCCATGAATACGTGGGGCCAACCACCTGAACAACAACGAGAAAGTTTTGAAAACTTGAGGTGAGAAGACACCTTCTTATGTGATGTATGGGAAAAGCCATGTCATGTGCACCAGATGGCACCTGAAAACCAACAAGAGAGAAATCCCATCCTTGGCGTCTCTGAATGCCACGTGGAGTGGGGGCCTAGCTGGAGGGGCTGGCTAGAACCGAGAATGGGAGAAACATGGATAATCACAAGCTGGGGACTTGCAGCGATTGGTTCCACGGTTGACGTGGAAGGACGGGGACGTGAAGCGTCACACGGTTGCTGTGACGAGCCCTTTTGCTTCCCGCGCTTTCTGTCGCCTTAAAAAAAAAGAGTTTGTGCGGGGAAAAGAGGGGTACGAACGGGCACAATCATTCTCGTTGTCACACCTTTGTTGCATCCGCAGCTTCGCCCTCCAATCCACACAACGTTGGAGATTACACACCTCGCTCTGCTGAATTCTCCTTCTCTTGTGATCTGCAGGTACGAGCTAAGGTCACATACTGCGTAGCGATATGCTTCCGGAGGCCCCTTTGGGCATTCAGGATCTCTCATGCGCGTGGTCGAGCTTCTCTTTTGTGGATTGGCTGCTCGTGATGCTCTTTTATGATTTTTGTCCCGCTCGAACATTTGTTTATTAATTGTTCTTTAGAATAGGAATTTCTTCTGGGTTGAATCATTTCCTCAATTGAGCACGTTTGTAGCTTTTGTATGTAGACCCTCGGGTATCTAGCGGTCTCCCTCCGACGAGGAAGAAATCGGAAGCGAATTCGGGAGCACGAGAATACAGTTGTGCGCCGTGCTTTCGGAATCTTGAGTCTTGATTAACGTTATGACCTGTAAAATGTAGTAAGGATGAAAAGCGTACATCATCAGCGGACAAAGGCAAGCGGAGGAACATAATGAATCCTTAGTTTATGCAACATCCTGCAGATTTATGAGAAATCATCTTGCATGAAATGGAAGGAATGTGAATAGGTTTTGTGCTTTCTCGGCGTGGATGGTCCCACCATGGCTTCTGGTTCAGATAAGTAGAATATCCAGAAGGATATTCCGGGTTTCATTCTTACACTCGGGAGTCTGAGTTTACGGTATATGAGTTTCACAAGCTTCCACATTTGACCAACAACGAGAATAGACCCACACAGGAGCGGAGAAGACCAGGAGTCATGTTGTTGCTAGCACAACTACAAGCAACGCAGGGCTCATGCTTCATCCCACTTGATGCCTCCTTCTCTTTCGACGTGCGCGAACTCATGTGTGGTCGAGACGTATGTTCGCCAGTACAAGACCGTGCCGAGTCTGTCTGTTTTCCGGTTTATAGAAAGGGCAGGAGAGGAAGGAGGAGAAGAGCATGCACAGCACACTTTTCTCCACCTTTGCTTTGTCTTTTCATAACAGTACTCTTTCTTAAATATGTAGATCTCATAGATTTCGCTCTTACATCCTTTCATGTTAGACGTGCATTTTCCTACCCACCTCCCTTGACTCCCGCTCTGCAGATAGATATGTCCGCCATTATTCACCATAAAAGCGCAGGAAGATGTTTCGGGTATTCCAGAATCGTGGTGAGAAGACGAGAATTTAGTCATGGTTAATTCGTCTCCATCTGCACCTCCCATATATTCAGCATAAGAAATTATGATTGAACGCAGCTCTCAAAGGTGCCGGATTGATGCTCTACTCATAGAGAATCCGAGACCACTCTATTATGCTGCCGGATGATATAGAGTCTACTTCAAGGGAGTTGATCCACAGTTGATCTGCTTTCTGACCTTCTTCGGGGTTCCTCATGCGACTTAGCTTTCAATCTAACGTGCGTGGTGTTTAGTCTTAAGCTCGATGAAGCATCAAACTAAAAGAAGAGGTGGAGGCGAGATCCGAAGTCACGTGTACTAAGTGCATTTATTCCAACATCGCAAAGTGACGCATGATAATTAGCACCGAGGTAATCATCTCTTTAATCATAATTCGCATAATAGCACAAAGAGATTACCATCCTGAAGGTGAACGTAAGAGGAGACTGTTTCTCATGCACTAAGCGTTCGTGCACATTGGCCCACCACGGCGGCCAAGTTCTCCGGGCCCAAGCTCCCGAGACCCAGCCCGGAGGCAGGGAGGGGTCCACGCTTGAATGCAACAAAGAACCAAAACTTCGTCAGCTCGGGGGGACTTTTAGGCCTTCCACCAGCAGATCCAACAAAGAAGTCACCTGTAAGCAATAGTGAGCGTAAGGATGACCGCATCTTCATCCCATGTCGCTTCAACGTCCTTATCGAGCCCCCCTGGTGACTGACATGCATTCCTGATAAGACGAAAGGGCACGCTGACTTCGGCTCATGTCAACTTGTGAGGTTGACAAAATGCATCCAGCCCGAAAAGGCCTAACGGGATCTTTTCTTCACATACTGTTCGGCTCCAAAGAGACAAAGGGCTCGACTGCTTCCTTCCTTCGTTACGCTTCGGTATAGTGGCCCCAAGACACACAACTTCGCCCATGATCTAGCCTCATACCCATCATCCAGCATAATTCCTTCACTAAATAGCAAGCTTATGAACAGATACCTTCGTAAATAAGTTTGGCGTGATACAATCGAGTGAGTGACTTCCGGAAACATATTCAGGTGACATCCGTTCATCACTTTATAACTCAATACGATTTGGATGAAGAACCCACAAAATGGACAAGAAAAATTGCAATATCAACGAAAACTGGAGGCCCCGTTGACTGCAGGTTCTCCGTTGCTGAATCATCTTCTGCATTGAGATTCTTCTGGTCCCGTTTTCAATGAAAAGAGCTACCCAATTAGCATAATATTTGCCGCCGCCAAGTATGGACGACTACATGAGAGTTGGACTTTGTCCAAACATGCCTTAGACAGGGCGATCGACCTAAGAAGATTCCAGCAAGCATTCCGATGATTTTCGAGAAGAATCCAGAAGAAATATATAGATACATATGTCACACTTGAATGCCCAGAAGTGAAGATCTGCTCACACCGTCCGATCTTGGCACATCGAATGGCTGATATCTATCGAAAAACCGGTAATTAGAAGCTATGATCAGTCTTAAGCGGGATCCACGTAGTTATACTTAGGGAGTTGAATTAGTGTCTGAATCGGTTCGAACTGCTTAGACAAATTCGCCGAGCAGGCATGGCTAAGACGATTTGGTCATCGACGTGTTCATTGGATCGCCCTTGGCATTTGATGCAAGTGCTCCAAGAATGAAAGTTCTGTTCTTCTCAGGTGGAATGCAAACGTAATAAGACCGAGACCCTTCGACGATACAAACACGGGCTAACTTTAGTGGATGCCAAACTGGAAGACGTCACCGAATACTGGTCGTGGACTGTAGGGGAGCCGAATGATCTGCTAGGACCAGGTTACCGGTTCTCACAGTAGCACGTCAGAGAGCTCTATCAACAGGCTGGTGTCGGTTTGTGCTTGTCGGCCTCCTGAGGCTCTGACCCGAAACCCCCCTACGATCGAGTCGTGTCGTCACCAACAGACCGGCAGCGGACGCACGTTATAACGACGTTGCAGTTATGACAAGTACACGTTCTGGCGTTCCCTTAATGGTTCCGACTACGCATGAAGATACGCATGATTATCCTTGATGATTGTCGTATAACATGCTAGACAGATAACAGTAGTTCCTGTTTCTGTACTCTCACCTGGTTGAAAGTTACCCGCTTCTTTACTCTTTCCGATGCCTAATTCCACTGTTCTCCGTTTTTCCTTTTCATCCTAATTGACACGGAGCGAGAAAAGAATTGAGGTAATGAGTTGTTCTCCGTCTCGTCTGTTTAGTTAGAAATAAAAACAAGAGGCCCAGAAGATGATTACTCGTTTTTCTTTTGTTGGTGAAGTGCTTGAGAAAGTCTACAAAGCAGCAACTACAACGTATGTTCATGTATCGCTCATAATGTTGGTCACGTCTTCAAAACGGATCGAAGGAGAATCATCATCGGGTACTATCATAAAATGATTCATTCATACTTATAAAATTGTATGATTTATAAGATTCTACGCACATTAACTTAAAAAATTGAATGGATGCAATGATAGTTCATAACATGGCAGATATATATGCGCGTGAAATGACACATGTAGTTCTAATTGCAGGAATACTGTACGTAGAACATGCACTAGGAGGAGTACGGAAAGCGGGGAATGATAGACACTGGGAATAGATCGTAGGATCAAGATGAAGTTGTTCTTTGGAACAACTGATATACAAAAGGACATGTGAGTATGGTCTCTGTACGAAGTGTACGTGTCCGAAGAATATGTGGAGCATGAAACTTGAAAGTCAAGAGGGGTTCCGTGTTTTCATCTCCATTCAACTCGCATCGCCGAGCTGTGAGTGGCACATGTAATCGTGGTACGAATTGGGCTCGATATTGTGACCTTCGACTTCCAAAACGAAGACTCCAACGACGATGCGTCCGTCAAAAGTCAGACGATCGCTGAGGCCCTCCCTGTATTCCATTCCATCTCCGCTGTAAGGAACGCTGTCTCGGGACGAGGTGGGTGCTTCATTGGAGACAACTAATTTGTTTTCGGTTCATATCCTTCTTTTCCCGATCGTGTAATGTTTGGTTCAAGTGATTCAACTAGAGCAAAAAAATAGAACGCTGTTCCAAAGCTCGCTATCAGCAGGGCACAGACGATTCCTGACGGTTCCCACCGCACCGAAACTTATTATTCAAAATAACCGAAGATCGAACAGTGAGAGATCGGAGAGTGATGAGTTTTGTATGTAGACAGTAAAGACAACGAGCCATGAAATGATGAGTGTTGTGAGAAGTGGGTCTCAAGAACTGTACTGATTGTATCATGCGCCCGATCGCCTATGCTGGACATAGTTTTTCGAGATCAGAATGGAGCTGCACATATGAATGCTTGTACATGGAGTTTGTAGGTCACGGTCCAAAATGGGGAAAGGCCTGCAAATGCACTTTTCCTTCATTAAATTCTCAAGAAGTGCACGTCGTGCATGCAAATGATATGAAGCTTGGGAATGTCTCTTCACAAACTTACATGCTTCCGTCACGTTACGCCATCTTGTGCTATGGAAGTTCAGTACCTACTTGTCACTTTTGTCTTTCATGACATTTGGGCATAATCTCAGATGTGGCAAGGGTTCGGCCACAATAACCTTGGTTTCGGGCCAATCTCGTCTCGTCGGTGTCTATATATCGTGAGAACTGTTACGAGTTTGTTGTCCTCAATTTGTCCAAAAGACAAGAATTTCTCTTTAACCAGTTAACAATGGATTTCCTAATTCGAGGTGTGGAGGTTCAGCCGACGCTTCCGAAAGAAGCAACGGTTCAAATTGTCCTTATCACGGAGGCAAAGAACTCGAGCATTTTAAAGGAGATCCTTACATTCCAGACATCACACCCGCACAAGTTGGATGAAGTTTATCTGGAAATGTATTCGTGGATGAGAGAACTTTCGATGGAGAAATGGACCAGAAGGCCCTCGTGAGCAGGGGCCAGACAAAGATCGTGCTGCTTCATGCCTCCAGATTCCACTGATAACTTCAGAATGTTCGCATCGTCAAGGGACATCTGACTACTTAAGGATATTTGTTGCCCTCCTCGTTTTCCTCAAAATCCCAACGACATTTCAGACGTATTATAGACGTGATGTTTAATTCTAATATGTAGATATTTAAATTGATTACAATGGTATAGAATATGGAACAATTACAATAAAAATGAAAACATTACGTTTTGACAATAAACTCCAATCCAATCTGCAATACAATGACCTCTGACCCGGTTTGCAATATACATTATACAGGCGTTTCCCATGAATAAAAAAAAACACATTTTAACATAACATGGCTGCATTCATTCCCACATAAGTTAATGCACTGCAAACTTTCTCCATCTATTCATGCTAAATTTATCAAGCAATATACTGTTGTTAATCATATTGAAAAAATAAATTCCATAACATTCGACATACCACACATGGTTGTGTATCACATGCATGTGTAAATCTTGTTGTACAATCTCTGGAGTCAATACAAATTTGTATGGTGTCTTCCTCTGTTCGAGTATAGGTATATATGATGTGTATATTTATATTCTTTAAAGTTGTCACTCCTTGGAATATTTATGCAAGACAGGCTGTAGCGGTGCATTTGAAGGATGTGCACACCTGGTTTTGACCAGAGCTATGATTTAGCCCCTGTGTTCGTGCTCTGCACTCCAGGTCTGAGCCTAATTTGTGTCTGTAAACTTCGAAGCATGAACAGATCTGGTGCTGGAATTTGTTGTCACAGCTACATGGAATGTGGGCACTCACGCTCCACAGACTGCATAGGAGTCTTCATACCAACATATAGTATTTCATCGGTATCTGTAAGTTGCAAAAAAAGGTTATTTGTTCATCCTAATCATGAGTTACTGATGATCTTATGATTGTGATACACAGAATGTACTTCTGATTATAATTCCACACCTTGGATTCTCATGAAATGAGCATGGGTCTATCTGTGTGGAGACTTCGTGCTTATATCCAGATTTTTCTATCTACGATAGGAATCAGCCTTGAGAGTGCCGAGTACTTTCAGATGTCCCAATCAATATGCCAGTAAGCCGAGGGAAGTCGTGAGTCATGACTAGCGAGTTACTGACTCAATAGTCTCCTGTAGTCATATGGGTAATAAGTTTGATGATCCCGTCGGTTGTGTTATGGGACGCAGATGTTTGACAAAGCCCGATGCATCATCTTCTCATGATCACCCATATTCAAATGTAGACATCATTCTTTGAGTCATTGTCCTCTGAGCTTGGAGCTGGCACTTGACTTGAATCAACGGATCATAAACTAAGATTCAAACAGAAGAAGCATTAAAAACTTCACACTCAATTTATGGAAGAGCGTGTAATCGAGATACTCATCATTCTTCTCTTTCAAACTTCTGAATGTTGTCCAGGATCTGGCTGGATGAGAGAGACACACAGTATCCCTCTAACGGGAAACGTTTAGGTTTTGAAGTTTAAACGTGTCTTGAGCCATTATTTTATAACGGGAGACTACTGTAACGCTGTGGGTAAGATGACACACTCTGACCGGAATATACTCAATTGGCTAAATTCTGCACGTGATTGATCAGAAGGATAGGTATTTGACGTGCATCACTTCATCCCAATGCTCTCAGGAAAATATGTGTTGGTTCATCATTCACATACGGTACAGTCTATCAAAATTTCTTCATGATAGCTTGAATAACCGATTTCCTCTGTGGGCTGAATTGACAAATTCCTTCTCCATATCCTTTGGAAAAGTAATTAGAGAAGAATGAATGAGTACTCTGCAAAAAAAAAGATACTGTTCAGTCTGTCTTATTTCCTTTTCGGACATATTAGCTTTCGCATTTTGCTCTTGATTTCATGCATTCATTCAATTTGTTCAGTATTGGTTTTGTACATTTAACTTTTAGATAATGTTGAATACAGTTCACACTTCAGTAGTCTTGTCACTCCATCCAATAGTCTTGGTTGCCCACGTGTTGTTTTTCTTATACTCGTGAGTTTTGCATTTTCTTGGAAGTAACTATAACCAACGATAATTACTGGTTTAACACCGTTACATGGTTCAGACGAAGCCATGTTACTCACTTTTGAATTAAACCATGACTCCTCAACGAGTGCCTAATAAATGGAAAAATTGCATCTAAAGTTCATGATTTCTTGAAGGATTCCCAGTGAGTTTCAGACATTTCAAAGATATATACAGCAGAAAACATCTCAATTAAAAATATGATCTTAAGCACAAAAATATTCTTTGAGAAGAGGAGTTACCATGCAGTATAAATTCTTTACTTCTCTCTATGCCTCTATTGTAAAGTGTTGGAAAGAGATGATTTGAGAGACCATTTGCTACTTCAATAAGTTGTTCATGTGCTGTTTGAACGAAGAAACAGCAGATCAAACGCCAAGGTCTGGATAATCATGTCGGTATGGGCGTACGGATCTTGAGCTCACAGAGTTTGCCAATCTTGTAGGTCATAATGGCTTGTCATTGTGTGATTGTCGCTTGATAAAGGAGTGGTTTAAGAAATACGCACCAAAAGTGTACACGAGAAGGTACAAAGAATGGGCAAAAAGTGCAAGAGCAGACGAGGTTCGTGTGTTATGCCAATAATGGACTAAACTCTCAAGTGTAAGAACGATTGACGCTATCATCATCTACGTGTAAGAAGCAAAGAGATAGATAGTTACTAGAAATTCTTATTGACACTCTAAGTAAGCCTGATTAAACTTCAAGGCTTGTGATTGTTCATATAGAGCGTTCTAAGCAACCCTCTGGAATAGGTATTCGCTCTTCCAAGTGGAGGTTTTTATCAGAGCTTTATGGCAGGTACTGACTGCTGTGGTATAACTTTTGGACAGTGCCTATAACGAGAAATCATCAGAACCTTCGTAACTATATCTCAACAACCTTTGCGAATCTACCTGTTAATTTTCGTAAGATAGTTATCTTTCAAGGTAATCCAATAACTGCGGTCCATTAAAGCATCATGCAAAAGATTGGGCATTCTCGAATAGACAAACAAATCACACAACATGGCAATAAGTGCGTAGCCAAAAGATGGGCGTATCCTATTCCTTGACATGACTATTTTTACCAATTGTCTTTACTTCTAATCTGCAGCGACTAAAAGGAATTTGCGAAGAGCCTATGCGTTTGTTTTGTTTTTTCTAATTTTACACTTATCATTCGGATTCATACTGTAAAGTGTCCTAGATTTAAAATAAAGCTGTACATCGGAAGGAATGGTAGTAGTACCAGACTGGATCTCCTTCGAAGATAGATTGAACGCAAAGACGAGATACCCCTCTGCAAACTTACTGGGATGAAAGAGCTGAAGATCTGAACCAGGGGTGTAGCGGTGCCCATCAAGCATTATGCTTCAGAATTCGCACATGCTGTACTGTCAACTCTATGGTTATATTCAAAAACAGCTACTTTTAGACCAGGTGTGTTTGAATGCGGTGGTCATAGATTCATCTCCTTTACTCAGATCCTTTCTTCCTCTTTCTTTCTCTCCGCGGTCAGGTCAAGGTGAACCAGACTGCAAGTTAGCAGAAGTGTGTTCTAACAAACCTTTGGGTTTAACAAACCCAAAGGTTTGTTAGAATGTCATCTGAAGTAGTTCTAGATAAAAGAATTCATTTCGATTTGATGGTATGAGAACATTTGTAATATTAATCCTGGTTCCTTCCCCGCAGTGATTGTGATGATGCCATTGGGCCCTAGCTCCTTGTTACCCGTTTCTTTTGAAGGGTTTCATCCTCGTAAGGTACGACACGTTGGGGTCCTTTGTTTTTCTTGTCAACCTTGAATACCATAGTGTTTAAGTTAGATATAGATACTAGAAACTGTTTGCTTTTATCGCTGGAAGGGCTTTGTGATTCTCCTCAGTGCATACCATATGGAAGAAGGAAGGATGTCCAGTCGTGATAATGGTAGCCTACCCAAAGAGGACGCCATTATACAGCATGTACACTGTAGGACAATAAAGAGAGCTCGCATATGGGCGTTACTTATGACGATCTCTTGAAGATATCTATTTGATTCTAACTAACAACAGGGCAGGCATGATATCAACTATTCCGATGCTAGTTTTACAATGAACGTCATAAGATTGGCCTCATCCTAAATAGTAGGTGAGATTTTTCTATCACCGGATGATTTCGAATACCCCATTACTTTACTTATAATTCTTTCAGGGCAACACGATCATATGGGAAGAGTTATTCAAGGGTTTGTATATTCAAGAGAATATTCAACAATCACGGCACCTACCGAACTTTACGACCGACGCTCCAAGGAATGGGGATGCTATGGAGATTCACTCCTTTAACGGAGAGACAAAGTCTGACATGACAATTAAAGAGTCAAGACCCTTGAGGTACTGTCCAGTACGAACGGATTTACCTTGATGGTCCAGTGCGCTGTTGGTCTCAGAGCGGCTGGATTTACGATAGCAGAGCACTTTTGGACTAAACTCGTTCGAGCCCTGACTATCATCATGTTTCATTTCAAGGCTTTAACCTACTGGATTCTAGAAGTCTGCTGAATGGGGTCTGAGGGTAACACAATTTTTCTTGTGCTGAGCTTGTTAGATGCTCTTGCTCATGAATCTCAATTTCAATTTTTACTCATATATTGGTCAGTATGTCTGATCTGTATATCAAGGATTCAAATGACCCTGTGAGCCGATTTTTTTCAGCAATAAGTAATGAAAGTGCTAGATAGCATTCTTTATATTCAGGCAACTTTTCGTATGCGCCTAGGTTAAGCCCTCGTAACCTGAAGGGTATATAGAGATTAACAGCCAGAGATTTTTTCGGTGGCATTTCTCAAGAGCGGCAGGAATGAGGAAAGCCATGAGACGGGAAACGGTGACGGAGTGAAGGTGCTGACGGAGAAGTGGACGAAGAGCACAATCAAGCGCCAGGAGACCACGTACATCCACCCACCGTGGTAACCCGATGAGGGTCACCATGGGGGGTTCTAGGACCGAGAATGGGGGCGGTGGTCGACGACTGTAGTGGGCTCCGTATCTGGGAGAATGTTGACCGGTCCGCGACTGACAGATGGACGCACGGTCCACCTTGTGACGTGACGGGATTGCGGCAGCGCTCAGGTACAAGCGCCTGGCAAGAGACGGCCAGAGTGAGTGAAGAAGACGCGTAGAATATTTAGTGCTCAGGGTCTGGCGGGCGATCGAGTACCGACGACGGCTTGATGAGTGGAGGCAGTCGTGAAAGAAGAGGGCGACGCCTCTCCTCTCATCCGTTCCTACCCTTCCGCGTCGGAAAGTCCTCCACTCGATCGCGACCTGGACAGTCCTGAGAATAAACGGCGAAATGAGCCTTCCCAACCGGACACAGTGAGAACTATCCTTCGGATGAAGGTCCGAGATGGACACCCGCACGGTCAGACTCGACGAGGCGAAACAAGATCCGCTGCTGAATTTAGTCCATGCGCATATTTTTAACCCGAGAACCGCTTGGAGTAAATCGAAGTCACAGTGCTACAGCTGGGGTCGGCGTTCCGGGACATGTGTCGGAGATGCTCTCTGGGTGAGGATGATGGCAGCGGGAAATTGCGCGAGCTCTAGAGGAGTCGACAGTAGGAGTAGGAAGAGGAGGAGGAGGATGAGAGAGAGAGAGAGAGAGAGAGAGAGAGAGGGGGGACAGGGAGGGGTGCATGAATTTCCTGTGCAATCAGCGGTCGAGGAAACTATCGATGCCACTGTGGAGGAGGAGGAGGGGGTAGAAACGGGAAAGTGGTAGAGGTAGTGCGTACAGTATAGAGTGATGTACAACAACTGTAGAGGCGGAGAGAATGCGGGGGAATGATGGGAGCGAGGAGGTGACGCTGGACTGGGGCGAGGGAGGGAGGAAGTGCAGGCAGGAAGGAATGAGGAGAGGGAGCGAGGGATAGGGAGGAGGAGGGGCGGGGGATGTAATGCGAGGGAGGGCTGCACGACTCGCCATCGTGGAGGGAGATGACAGCAGAGAGGAGTAGCACCGCGGGGACCCGAGGGGACCGGCTACTGGCGGAGGGCTGACTGGCTGGACCTGGCGACTCGAGTTTAGCCAGAGCACGCCATAATTGCTCGACCTCCTGCGCAGACCCCCATTGTGCTGCTATTATAATTTAGCAACGCTTGCAGATCCGAGCCCAGTCGCTCTGTCCTGTCCGGCCCCAAATTGGGAGCCTCAATAGATTGCGCTCCTGACGCATCCCCAACGCCCCTCCCCCCTCGCCCTCCCCAAATGGTGCTGCAGTTTTAGGGGGAGCGTGAGTTGGGGTTGCGTGAGATCGGCAGCAGAGACCGGAGCATAGCCAGGGGCACCGATCGCAGACGGGTAGCGCATCGCAGAGCTGAGCACGGAGTGCAGCAGAGAACTACTGTTAGAACCTCGAGAAAAGGACACAAGCCCCGACTGAGCGAGTGACCAGTTAGTAAGTGTGCGTTCCTGGGACGGACACAGCGAGTACACAGACAGACACGCAGACCATACTTGGCAACTATTTGCGAAAGGGCGAGTGAGCGTCAGACTCGCAGAAACTCAGAGCGCGTGAGAGCGTGAGAGAGAGAGAGAGAGAGTATGTGAGACAGAGACGAGCAGACGTAGAAGGGTGAGAGAGCGATAGAGAGCGAAGTCGGGATCTCGGCTTTCAATTCTGGAAATTGGGCTCGAATGCGGAGAGTTGCGGTGCACTTTGTGTGACTATAGGCGATAGCGAGCGAGAGGATATCTGGACCCTTTGATTAGAAGAAGGATCCCGGAGACAGCATTCTGAGCGCAGACGGGCCACTCGAGCTCGAACCGAACGCACAAGCAAAGCTCTGGTTGGCTTGCAGGCCATGTCTTTGAGTCGCGAGGCTTACGACCAGGAGTTGCTGTGCTGCACATTCGAGACAATGGCTGGAACCCGCGTGTAGCTACCAGGCCCCCACCTCTCGCCGGAATTTGTTATCTGCGAACAGTTGCACTACGTGTTCCCTAAGGTAGAAGAGGTCTCTGGGCAATTTTCCTCTCGAGCCCGGAAGCACAATGCTGCAGGGGTAATGAGAATTCCTACATGTGAAACGGGTTTGGTTTCGTTCTCGACTTGGGTACTGTCTGCAGATAGCGAGGACTACTTCACCTGACCGCTCTGTCAACTCAAGTCCAGACCAGCAGGAGCCTGTACGACTGTATCAGAGCACATTTGGCCGATTAGCTCAACAGATCAGAGGAGTCAAGTGGGCACCCATTGCAGTCCAGCAATCATGTCTGTGTTGGTGGCTGCGCTAGCTCGCACCAAGAATTTCGCCACTTCGGGTACCAAATCCGAGTCGAAGTCGAGCAAATCCGAGAAATCAAGCAAATCTCAGTCCTCCAAAGAAGTCGCTGCTGCAGTGCCCGAGCCTGAGGCTGCTGCCGCCGTCATTGCGGAAGAGGAAAAGGATAGCTACCCGGAGGAGCTCACTTACCCCACCGAGCTTGTCAGGCAGTTCAGCAAACACTCTGTGTGTGATTCGGAGGATGACGAATCAGAGTCCGCTCAAGTAGTGGATGAATATGCGCTGGGTTTGGGACCCATTGTGCCACTAAAGGAGCAGTTGGAGCGAGACAAGGTAATGCCACTACGCTCGGAGTATTCTCTTCCTTTCCACCTCTCCAACTGCTTCTGCCATTGCCATTGCCAATGCCTTGCTCTTTGCCATGACTTGACTTGTCTTATCTGAAGACCCGGCTCTCTAAATTTCGCGCAGTCAGAGCACGCATCGATTTTTTTTTGTAGTTTGCTATGCCATTCTCATTCTCCTTACGTTCATGCTGAGAGTTCTCCATCCCTGCCTGCTCTCATTGTCTGTCCTACCCCGGATTCCTGCATTGAGTCAATCGCCTCCACTTTTGAGCTTGAACCGTCTTTCTTTCCTGTCTCGAGCTTACGTCGTGTTATGAATGCTCAATTGTGCCCCCGGGTTGTGTCTCGTGCTCATGTTACATACCCCCTGTTCCTCCGCATCGGCAGTTTCTTAATTTCTCGTGATGAATGTGAGGAGAACGAGAATGGCATCGCAGACTACAGAGAGGGTGAAATTTCATGAAGCAGACAGTGGAAACACGCGATATGTGTGCTGGGTATGATCAGTGAAGACGAGCTGAGCTACCGGTGCTCCACTTCTGCCCACGCTTGCACCACTGTTTCTCCTTGCTTCGGAGACATTGTTTTGGAAACTATCTACCGGCGTTGGGGCTCGCTGCCATCGTCCTGGCCTCATCCTATTTCACCCGTCACCCTCTGCCGGTTTCCCTTTCCGAAGGCCACCGAGTTTACTCTGCCGGTGGGGCTTTTCCTTCGCTCATTCTTGGGTCTGTAGCGAAGCCCCTGATCCTGTCGTTGAGATCTGGAACTTCGCTGGCGAATCCAGCGAGAGCGTTGTCGCGTTGTCGCTTTTTCATCACGCCTGTTGTGAATTCTCATGATCTCAGGATTGGAGCTTCAGAGAGTCTGGCCTCCAAGAAGAATGGGGCCGGCTTGTCGGTGGGTAGTGCTCGGACTTGGGGATTGGTGATGCAGTAGCCTGTGCACGTCTCTCCTCTGATTCGGGTTGCGGCATGGTCCGAGGCAGCCATCTCTGTCCCACGGCGGAAGTAAAATCCAGCGCAGCCCTGCCACTCGTTGACTCGCATCGCGTGCGTGCGTGAGTGAGCGCAGCCAGGCCTGCAGTGCTCCAGCGCGCGCCAGATTGCTCTTCGCATCGTCGGCTGGAATTGAAAGAACCGTGAAGAGCTCAGTCCAGTGCCGACGCCTGGCATTGGCTCTGTTCATCGTTTGAACGATTCGCTGTCCCATGGCAGTGCAAACCGAAGCTCCGTCCCTCGCTCGACGTTTTGCGAACATTTCCTTCTGACTGCACCATGCTCTAATTCGCTTCGACTGATTGAATGCCACGGTGAGGAAGATCCGCCCCACTTTAAGTGCGATCGTGCTCGTGTGCACCCACGGGGATTGGGGATCATGTGCCCGAGCCTTGGCGTGACGCGACGCGACGGTTGCTAGTAGATCTGCGGTCTCGGAATCAAGACGCGGCGCTCGGACATGCGAGCAAGCTCGATCCGCACTAGATCTCGGGTCCGTCGCACGGGCAGCGCAGGCACGTCGGGGGCGCCCGTGACGTCGACTGACGAAGCCGTTTGTGACTGTTGCGCAGGAGGACGAGAGCTTGAGGCGCTGGAAGGAGCAACTTCTGGGCCAAGTTAGTTTGGCGGGAGACGGTAAGGGCTCGTTGTCTGAGGCATTACAGTCCGCGCCTGCCAGCGGCGTGTAACGGCTGCATTGTTTTTGAACCCGGTCCGCCCTCCGCCGACGTGTTCCTGATGTGGGCTCTTGGTTGTGGCCCGGTCGTGGCGTGTGTGCAGAAGCCGTGGAACCTGAAGTCAGATTCCTGACGCTGGGAATGACCTCGCCCGGGAGACCGGACATCTCAATCCCCCTCCCTCTCCAGAAGAATTCCAGAGGAGTCACGTTCACTCTCAAGGAAGGTGCTTTGTACAGGCTGCAATTCACTTTCAACGTTCTCCACAACATTGTTTCGGGCCTGAGATATGTCCACACCGTCTGGAAGGGCGTAGTCCAAGGTTCTCTCTCTCTCCTTTCTCTTTCTCTCTGAAATCTGTGTTTGAGCAATTATTAATTATTTGTCGAGTTTTGCGGGAACCGAAATTCGAGTTGGTCAGTGGCAAATGGACCGAGTTCAGAGAACATCAATGTGGATGCTGACATTTGTAGTGCTGGGTTGTGAATGCAGTGGATCACACCAAGATTATGCTTGGAACATTCAGCCCGCAAATCGAGCCTTACACCCAAATAATGGAGGAGGAGACTACCCCAGCGGGTGTGTTGGCCCGCGGTGCGTACACCGCAAAGACGAAGGTGAGCTTTCGACGAGAAGTAACTCGTGTTCACACACGTTCTGGATCATTGCCAATCGTTTTGGACTTCAATGTAGGTACTTCGGTTCGCGCGGGCGGTACTTGCATTGCGCTTAATAAATTGTGCAATTAGTTGGTTGATAATAGAGTGGTGGCTGATGAAAGCGAGATTGCTTCCGTGCAGTTCGTAGACGACGACGAGAGGTGTTACTTGGAGATCGATTACTCGTTCGAAATTCGCAAAGATTGGTAGGTGCAAGCCTGAGTTTGAATTACAAATGTACATCGCAACAGCCCAAGCTGCAATTTTGTGCTATTGATTGAAGAGGAAGTTACAAGAGACCAGGGTTTGCCCATGACCTTGCGGTGAACCTGCCACTCCTTCAGCATCCCCTAGATGCCTGCCAAGGTCAATGGGGGTTCAGCTTCACTTCCCTCTCAGTTTGGACGGATTCTCCATCAGACAGCAGAGCAACAATCGGTCTTGAACGAATACGACAAGACTTTCGTGACATGACAGCCTTCTTGATCTGATGTGAATACCTCGATAAGTCTAAGTATACTAGTTTGTTGTAGTCATTACTGTTAGTTTCCGCTTGTCATCTCTGTAATTGTTCGTCGCAGTCCCCTAGTTCTCTTCTCCTAGTACAGGTTCGAAATTTGAGGATCAGGTTTTGACTTTTTCGACTTTCAAATGTCGTAGTCTGGACTGGGTTGTGAATGTCACCTTTCATCCCCAATTTATTAGATTCGTTCCTGAATGCGACTATCACTCCGTTGGGTGAACGTTGTCTGGTCCTTTATCCAGATTCTGTCTGCATCACTGCCTGGGCCTGCACCTGGTCCACTTTCCAGGCTTTCCCTTTACTGAATGATTGCCATCTCTTTCTGCCCTCGATTTTGCATGCACTTTGCAGAATTGGTCCCAAAAGAGCGCTTTAAATGCATCTCATTTCATGCATAAAGCAACCATGCATTTCAAGGATCGTCTCCGACAAATTTTTGAGAGCATGGTCGCGTTGCCTACATATCCCCCTCTTTACAGATCGACGAGCGTTGTGCCCGCAGAGCAGTTAATGCGTTGCATTCAGCTGTCCAGGTTAGTCTAGGGATAGGCATTGATGCTGAGATTCTTTAAAGCTACTGTGAGCGCTTGTATCACTCGAAAGTGCGAAGCAGAATTGTCGATTTTGGTCGAGTTTGCACATATCCCTACAGCTTCCTAGATGCCGGAGTCCTGAACTGGACTGGAGAACTCAACGACTTCCAGCTGCAGGGATCTATCGTTCGCCTCCATTTCCTCACAAGTACAGCTCCGTCCCTATCTGAGGGAGGAGTGAAATTTTCCAATTTTGCAGCCTTTCCAAGTGTTAACTTCGAGGTAATTAGATATCTTCGTATGGTCGTCTTAGAAGAGATGAGGAGACTGTACTCTGTCTCCCTATAGATTACACATGTATTATGTCAACATCGATTGCGGCGGTAATCTCTATACCGTGCATGCAGATAGACCACGACCCGAAGGATGTAGTGAATCTTTACTGAAACCAAAGAGAGAATTGTCTGCCAATATCGCTCTGGTGGATTGAACACTTGTAGACTAGTAGAAGACCACCCATCACGGATAGTACACTGCGATATAGCTGGACGGATTCAGGCTAGTAACCGTATTCATCTTTGCTATCATGGATTCTGGGAAACCAGGGTACGTCTGAGGTCTGGCCTTAAAGGTCATTTGGTTTTTGTCTGTCGCCGCTTCTCAGTGCCGCCCATTCTCCTGTCATGACGACACGTATCGCTAGAGTGATATGAAGACACGATGGGAGGCCTTGGGATCTTGGAAAGCGAATGGACATATCTTGAATTTCAAGTCCCGCAATATAGCTCAAGGTCGAAGGTTCTTACCAGGAGCCCTAGTAAAGAGACCTTTGATAGTCATAACTCCACAAAAAGCTGAATCGTACAAAGTGTACGATTCGGTTGTTCTGGACGCGGTTTCTCATCTGGATTGCTGCTGAAATTACAGCAAGTCGATGAATGTTATCTGTTTGTTGGGATGTATAATGTCTGCAGCCTATTTAGCGTCGCGAAGGTGTAGCAATGCAGGCCCGAAGAGTTTGAAACTCGTCCACGTGTAGTTACACCTATTCCTGGTGATGGCTACAGAAGCGGAACCGCTGTAATGCATTCTCGTGCCTTCCTGGTCTCCGTGATGTCGACGATATGGTTATTATGTCGTTAGCAAAAGGACATGGACCTAATGCTCATTACTGCTGATTCTTGAGCGGGATTATCTTGTTATTCATCAGGAAGGACAGATACACACCAAGTTAATAAGACAATCTGTCACCATCTCGGAGCGTCCTTCACCGGGAGATCATCTCGGTTCGGTTGCCTTGGTCGCCGGGATTCTTCCCGTTTTCAGAACTCTGTGTTTATTCTAATTTCGCACGATTAAAATGACCTAACCTCGTCGTGCACCCATTACTCTAACGTGTGGGACCTTGATCGTGTTTGTTCAGGAGCGGTCACCAAAGGAAGTGGAGTTTAGGAGCATTTTAAGTGCGAATGCAACGACATTGGTTATGGCTTACGACATTTTTGTGCAAACGACGGCAACAGCTCTCCATGGCTTTTGTCTTCATCATCCAGTTCGGCAAACTCGAGTTTGCTTAGCACCTTCAAAGCAAGATGTGATCCGCACAGGATGTGTCAAGAACTGCTACTCCCATTAGAACGTATAGCGTCTCAGGATGACGAACTTTCGACCTTCATCAGTCTATCATATGGTGTGCATATCAGCAAAGTAAGCTATGAATGGTGGATGACAAGGTGGAGAGCTTGGTGAACTGCCCTTCGTCACGATCACCACCAGATTTAGGAGAAGTATAATTTGGAAATTGATAGTGCAAAAACATATTTCTCATAGTCCAGAGCTAGTTGTGGGACATGTAGAAAGTCGTCGGCAGCGGCTTGGTTAGTCTGGCTATGTCTTGGATGGGTTGCCTCCGTACAGGAAGCACCGAACTCTACATCCTTCAAACCTGACTGACAACAGATCGATCGCCTTCCCTGCTAGCGAATGGGGACTGGCAAAGATGAAGAAGTGTAGAGGTTTAGAAGATTAGTGATGATGACGTGTTTCGTAGAAGAAAATATTGTAAAAACGGAAGTTTCATGCATCATCGATTGTGATGTAGTCTTGCCTTTCGTATTACTATTTCGTACCAGTACAAAGAAGCTAAGTTGAGAAAGAAGAGCCATCCTTCGCCGAAGAGTACGCTCTAAAAGTTCTTGCGAACACAACCCCCTCATTATTCTGCTAGCTGGACCCATGAACTCATTCCCTTTGTTGTTATTTTGCACGCCATCATACACTTCACAAAACACTTTGAGCACTTAAGCTCACTTCCGCCCCTCTTTCGGAAAATGCACATATGGGGGATTCATAGTACATTTTGGACAGGAAACTATTAACCGGATTTCGCCATGATTAATGCAGCGCTCCTTAACCCTCCTTTACGTTGCTTACATGTCGATCACCGCCAGTGTCGACGCGTTCGAGGAATCACATGTGACACTCTCAAGTATACAGTCAACGAAACTTATGGGAACATCATCTCCTCTCTTATAGCCTTTCTATTTGTGACATGGAGAGATAGCAACACAGGAGATTACTGATCGTCCGCTAATGACATTTATCTCTCCTCTCTTATAGCCTGTCTATTTGTGACATGGAGAGATAGCAACACAGGAGCTTACTGATCGCCCGCTAATGACATTTATCTCTGCCCGTGTCGATCTCTGACACAGGTCGGTGGGAGGAGTTCACAACTTGGAAGACATTCAAGTGGAGGATGAAGTCAAAGGCTTTTCGTGAGGAGTTGACATTCCCGATTTGTATGTCATCCTTTGTTTGGTAAGGTACTACTGGTATCGAGGCTGCCGCCTTCCCTCTTATCCTATACACCAAGACGACTGCAAGAGAACAGGCCGATAACGATCATGAGCAGATTTGGAAGTACAAGTCAGCGCATCATCCATCTTCTTCTCTCTAAACTAGTGGCTGATTCTCGAGAGGGTTTCATGTTCAGTTGCTACGTTTCTCTCATTCAACTCTCGACATTGCGGAGTTGGGCTCACACACGAATCCAGCGGCAACGGCCAGACCGGCGTCCTCAGCATTTATGAACTCCCTGCAACACTGGAACCTGAGACATCACTCAGTCGAGTCGAAAGGACTTCCCGTGCAGAGGATTATTGCCCAACTGCATGGGGCATTTGTGCTTTTTGTTCAGGAAAAGCGCATGACAGCCTCGGCGATGCCCGGAGTTCATCATGTCATATTTCCCGGAGTCGAGTACTGGAACTGCAGTTTTCCTGCGGAGGCCTTTGTGGCCTCCCTGCGAAGCAACCAGTGTCCACGTTACGTTTATACCATCTGGCTGATTGGATCGAAGTTACTTCCGACAGAAGGAGGACGTACTGTCAGTGGCCTGCTCGAAGAAACTAATTTTCTTGTACTTGATGATGGCTTTGCCCACCAGTCTCTTTCAATTCTATATCAAAAGTAGGTCCACGTTTCCTTCCCTCACTGCTTCAGTCTCTGAAGGATGTCAACGTCATACTCTGCATTACCAGCTCTCAATACTTCTGAGCACTTCTGAGCACTGACATCCTATCAATGGCATTCCGCTGGTTTGCACTTCAGTTCTGTAGCAGGGTCTGATCGTCTGATTCAATACTGTCGAGCAGAACCGGTTCATCAGTCAAGTGAAGTAAAGTAGTCACGAGAAAGAAAGGCATTGCCAAATAATTTAGCTATCTGCGACCAAAGGACTCACCAATCACAAACTTAGTTTGAATGTAAAATTTCTTCGTGCCAGATGAATCTTCAGTGTGGATCAGTTGTCAGACACGCTTTGAAAAGAGCTGGATGTAAATATCCAATGACGCTGTCGGGAGTGTCGAGTCTTTGAATCGTTGCTAAGCTCTCCTCTCGAGTGCGACTTTAAAAAGCTTCAGAACTTGTGCATCGATAGCAGTGAATAGATGATCCGTGGAGGCCTCTGGTTCTACGGCGAGGTATCGGGAAAAATATACCTTCTGCCGGTGCACCGGAGAGAAGCATATCTTATCTGGAAGAAGGCGGACCAAGGCAGACCAAGGTAGGCAGGCAGGTGTTGACGAGAGTCTCCTTTCTTCAAGCCCTCAGGCAGAACTTTCTCTGGTCTCCTTGCTCTTGCAGCAACGATTCGAAGCTAATTTTCTCCAGCTGGAAATCTCGAGCAATGAGAGACGTGTGAGTACGATCGGTTTCCAGTACGCTTTCCATACATTGTGATGAAGAGCGTGTACTCAACACGAAGCAGGATTCACACACATACGAACGAAGCCCTGACGCCGGATCTCTTTCAGACCACTACAGTTTTATCAATAAGCTGCCACTGGTAGGAGACCCATGCAAACAAAAAAAACAAACTTTTCTCACCGGGAGCCAGATATGCGAATTCGGTTAGCGGCAGGTCGCACGATTAGGAGAAAATACCGACGTACATCTTGTGAGGTCAGTACATCAGGAGGATATTTACCACGGCACTTTTGGACAGCATCTGCAGAGCCTTAGGACAAGGGAAGAATTTGCAGAGCACATCTCGTCCCGTCAAATCCGATTCATGATATTCCATGCGGTCCAAAGAAACGACGGCCCGAGGTGTCGGGGGCGGATCTCGATCACCGGTCCACCCCAACCGCGATTATGGTTCTCTGTGTACGAAGTCACCAGCTGGAACACTTTCAAAGACCTGCAAAGACAGTCGTAGCAGCCTTTCATCATCTAAAGTACACTGCACACCATACGCCTCCTCGTCCATATTGGACTGTAAGCAGTGTGCTCGTCTCACTGCAGCAGAAACTTCCTGTTGGTCAGACTCAACACGGAATACCACTGCGCTCCAAACACGTCGGAATTCTGAAACTATAGCACATTTGGAATCAATAGATACTGGAATGTCCGTAGGAAATGCAGTGTTGTAGAGGGAGGCATTGGGGAGGGAATGCACCTTCTTCATCGCAGGGTACAGGATTTACGGACTTCAGGTTCTCGGGATTGTGGAGCATTCGCGATTTTCCGTCAATTGGTCGTCAGTGAACCGAGTCGAGTGCAAAGACGTACGACGTCACACATCGACATATTCTGAATTCATAATACCGAATCTGAGAAGTAAGGTTAGTCGTGGGTGTTGTTGGATCATACGGCCATGTATCGAGGTTTTCATCCGATTTCGTTGCATCCTAGGCTGCCAAACTTCAACCCATGCTCTATGGAAATTATTGTTGTTGCCATGGAGAAGTCTTTGATGCATTAAATATTTATTTTTGTGATAATCAAATTGGATTAAATCATTTCTAATCTACATGTATCAAATGATCAATCTATCAAATAATATTGTAATATACATTTTAAATAATCTAAATCATCATCATTAAATTTTTTATGCTAGATGATGCGAGCAAAAATAATTATTCAGCGGAAAAAAAAATACCTCATCTATGAAATTTTCACTTGAAAATTTTCTCACACTATCTTTTGTATGAAAAGTTAATTATCATCATTAATCATATTGCATTGACATACATTTTTGACAAATCTAATGCTGAAAGAAAATAGTTAGATGTAAATTCTTACTAACATATCTTGATTATAACATTAACTTGGCAGAAAGTGTACTAATGTTGATTTGCTGTTGTGAATAATGGGAAAGTAGATGAAGTGGTGGATGCTATCTTTGGAAAAAAAAACCTTTGCTAATCATGTACATTCTGATGATGATTTGAAAGAAGTATTTAGAGATTGAAGATTCTCTTTTGGAACATACTTTTTTCAAAACATGCATTCAAGAAAAGAAAAGTCATTCATAAGAAAATGGCATTATCAAAGATTGTGTAGAAAATGTGGCATTATCAAAAATTAAACAAATAGTAGTTGAAAATTAAAATCACAACAATTTATGAAGAATATTTACAAATGTTTGATATATGAAAAATACTTCACCGACAAATGTTTGTTTTTAAAATCATTGATGCTAATTATCATGAAAATGAAGTTTTCAAAGAGTGTGAAATTTTTCAAAAATGTGATGAGTTTCAAACTTTTGTCAAGAAATCCATCTTTTGATATCAATTTCTATTTAAGTTACTAATGGCTTGATATAAGATAACAATTGCACAATTTTTATGATGTTGATCAAAGATGCAGATATGAAAAAAAAACAAATATAATTTGAAAAAAAAATACATGTTATCTTCTGGAAATATTGTATAATTTGAAAGATATCTTTCAAATAATCATGTTCCTAATATGTTGTATGAAGTTGAGTAAAAAATTTTCATGTAACTTGATTTGAGCACATTCATGAAGCTTTAATAGAAGAGTGAAGAAGAAACATCCACACCAACAATAATCCTAAAGTCTAATTTCATAATCTATAACTCAGACCTCATTAAAATTGGCATTTTATTGATAAATGTCAACTTTGACGAAATATAAAATTAGGCCAATGCCACAATAAAGCCTTTGTATCTTTAATTGCAATTTTGACTTAAGGGCGTAAATCTTTATAAATTTGCATGCATTGCGTAAAGTTTACAAATTGCTCTGCCAATCACAATAGTGAATGCGACATGTCAACAAAAAGCTATAAAAAAAGACTGATGAAGTTGTAGTCCAAATAAGCTTGATGTAAGTCTATGGTAAGTATGAAACAAGTTTAAAAATTGGAAAAATTAATCATGTCAATTGCCTTGTAAGTCACAAGTTGGAAAAAAGTAAGTATGATAATTGTATGATGATTTTTGATGCAATTAACAAAAAAAATATTAAAAGTTCAAACTTTCAAAATTCTTTGATGATTTTATTGTTGAAAAAATTAAACTAATATGAAGAATTTTTTTTTATCAAATCAATCATGAAAAATTAAGTTGTTCTATTCTATATCATGGTTTTTAATTTTGATAACGTAGTAAAATCTTGATCCAAGGATACATGTAAAATATTTTATACTTCTATTTTTTAAAAGATTGAAGTAAAAATTGACTATGATTATCTTAGTTATGACTAAGTGTAGCTATCTGGTCTAATCTAGACAATATAGACAAAGTTCACTTAAAACTTATGAATGAACATCTTCATGATTGAGGTATCGAATTTTGGAATTTGGATTTGCAAGTTTTAAGTACAGGTTTAAATTTTTAAAAGCACGTAGATCCAAAGTACCTGCAACACCAGTCAAACTTGAATCGAGGCTCCAAGCAAAGAGAAAGAGTTTATTCGAAAGAGAAGAATCCGTTCACCTCTTCCAGTCCACGCAACGAGATTGCATGCTTTGGTCAAATCGCACATACGAATACTCAATCGCTCAACCTACAACAATAATTCCCCACCCGAGCCCAAATTGCGCCCATGCAAGCTCAGTTGCGAACTTCATCCAAGCGCTACTCCCTCGCTCACGGCGTCTACAGCGATGCGGCAATGAAGTAATAAAGGGCCCATTCGGCGTTGAGCTTACTCAAAACGGCACGCTTCTTCCATGAATTTTGTCTTTTGCAATGGTAAATTAACCAATAAATACCGGGTTATAGCCCAGTCTTTACCATTTACGCTTTTACCGTGTAACCCTAAGAATTTATCCTACATTGCCGAGTCCTACTTACATGTATGTGACAACAGATCTTTTTACAGAAATTTAATTTTCAGTAAGAATTAATACTTAGTTTACGGTAATATTTTTCATTTGAGAAACATGACTTTCGTCACATTTCCCATCAGTAGTGGTCTCTCTATTCCTAGTTCAACTTCCGGTTTTTCAACTTCTCATCTGCTCTTATATACCAGAGTAATCAAATTTACTCCCAATCCCATGGAGCTTAAAGAAAGTTGGGCACTGTTCACTTAGCTAGTCATCTTTACTCATGGAACGCTGGATTCGTCATTCCTTTGGGGATCCTGCCTCAGAGATTGTGCACTCCATTTTCCCATTCGATAAATAGCAGATATCGTTTGACCTCTTCGCCAGAGTTTAGATTTTGCTTTTTCATTTGGTTAACCATGTGTTAGTTTTTTCCAGCCACTCTGAGAAAATCTAGTTGTGCAGCGTTGTGGGAGACTGGATTGTCGTGGAACACTTTGCACAATGACCGGATAAAATTATGCCACCCTATCCAATGGGGGATCTCATAACTAGTGCAGCTTCGAATCGGGCGCCAGGTTATATCTTATTACACAGAACCCATGAAATGGCTATTCAGTCTTGTGGTTGTGTAGGAGCGATCTCTTGAGTGCTGTGAAATGTCATATCCTGTGAGGACAGAGAGTGCCTTATTTCTGGTGCTCCTCGAGATGTGTTGGGGATATTTTAATGTTGGAAAAATGGAATCTGTGTATTATCCAAAGCAGGCACTAAGTTTCTGTTTCTGAGGGCTCTGCTGCACTCCAGAGTGAGTTCAGAAAATTCTAAAGCTTCTGAACCTGCACATCAGTACTGTTCCTGGAAATCAAGGAGACGATGCCAACCGAATCTCGACTCGGAAAATTTGGTCCATCTAGACAAGGGATTTCAGACCCCAAAGCCGCTGCTGCTTTGGGCTCTGAAATCACTTGTCATGATGAAACTAATTTCATCGTGATGGAATCCATTCTGAAAGTCGAGCAAATTCCTTTCGTGTACAACCTGAGAGTATCTCCCCCATTTCATGCAATTGATTCTCGTACTCTGCTGTTTCATCTAAAGCAGCTAGATTGTATTTGGTAGTCATGAAGAACTCTTTAACGGGACTTACTACTGATCTCCAGGAAAATTCTTTTCTGAGATAATAATATTGTTTCGATCTCATGGTTTAGAGAAT